CTGATCATATATAACTACCTAGGTAGTTTATTTTAATTATAGAATACAGACAAATATGTCGTCTAAAATAATTAACAATAAAAAGTTAAGTAAACTTCTCGTACTCGAGTGATCTCAAGTTTTAGCATTAATTTTATTAAACCTGTAAATTATCTAATGTAAATTAAATATCTTCTTGAATCGTATTCCTTTCGTTCATTTGACGAAGATTAAGAGCGAATCTTTGAGAAATCTGAAGCTATTTCATGAGATGTATGACTTATGAGTTCTTGTTTTGCTCTTAATTTATCGCGTGGATAAATAACAAGGCATGGCAAAGTGAGAAACAATCAAAAGTCTTAGAGGCATACAATAAATTTAAGAAATTATTAGGTTTATGTATAATTTGACGACACATTACTCGTATATCAACAACAATGTTAAAAATTATCTTCTTTCACACCATAGTTGAAATGATTTAACATTTTGTAGATATATACTAAGTCATCTTAGCGCGTTTTTCTTCATCATCAGAAATGTTTCTTGTTGTACTTGCCATTTTCCGCATTTTCATATTCATCAATTAAAAATACCGCACACTATACATACGATGTACATCATACATGATGAAATAAAAAGCGAGGAAAAGAATCGGGAGGCAATAAGATATAAAGACTAAAGAGAAGCATCACACGCATTAGCATCTCTTCCTTCCTTTCTTGTCTTCTTCACTCACGGATGAAAAGTATTTTTTCTTGTTTTCTTTCTTCATAATTTCTTTCTTGAATGAGAAAAATGTGAAAAATTCTTTTTTAACGAAATAACAGTTAAAAATGATTATTCATATGTGAAGCGGCAGTGGTGGCTGATTACATTAAAAGTCACAAAAATTCTTCATTTCTCACAATAACTGGCAACCCTTGAGATAAGTAATTTTTAGGAATTAATATTTCGGTAACGTCTTTTCGGTTGGAAAAGTGAGAGATGTGAAAAATTAAGCGGCGTAAAGCGTGGAAGGATTGAAGGAAGTTTTTCAGCTTTGTTGTTTTGTGATATTCTCACTTAACCCTTTCACCATTCGCTGAGAATATTTTTCCATCAAAAATTAAAAAAAAGAAAAATTAACCCGTTCTTTTATGATATCGTTGTTGAAAATATTTCTCCCCTTCCCCCCTTTAACTTCCACTTCCCCCACCAACAACTTTGTGAATGGGAATCACATGTTAAAATTCATCTAATTCCATTTTTCGTTCTCCAAAACTTTTCTTCTCTCAACACTGCGATGGATGGGGGTGAACATTTCATTGCGGAAAATTTTCAAAAAAGCATTTTTCCGAAAGAAAAAAAACACTGAAGATACCTGAGTGAAATTCATTAGCATTCATTTGTAATAAATATGCGGGGAACGGAATCCCTTTGAAATGAGATTTTTCACATTGTGATTAAGTTGGATAAGAGTGCGAAGGCGAGTTGAGCTGCTCAAATCGAATGTGCAAAAGTTGCCTTTGCCTGTCGTTCAGTCAGTCGTTTCACATTGTGTTATCAGAACAACGACAGAAGTCATCAATGGAAAAACGTTGTTAAAAGGGAGGGAAGGGAAGGGTTTCGAGTTTTGAAACATTGAAAAGAACGAGAAGATGATGCCAGAAATATTATGAATAATTTTATGATAATGCTTTTAATATGTTGATTTTTCTTTGAAAGCCACCCAGCAATGAAGGAGCGCTGGATCATCATAAAAATGGATGCTCGGCACAATTGTTTTTCACGAATTTTAATAATATTTTTGAAAAAATAAGAAAAATATTTTCTTACCTCTTTTCCTGCCACGCACACAGCATTTTTCACAGCTATAAGAACGATTTGAGAAATAGTTAAAAGCCATCATTACTTTTTATGACACCTTCGCAGCTAGATTGTTTAAATACGTCTAATAAGTAATCGTCGTCATATTTTTGCATATTAAAAGGTGCGTGAAAATTACTTATGCGACTTTTAAGCAAAGGAAGAAACTCAAATTGAATGAAAATAGTTGAATTAAGATTTGATTTCATTATTTGTTTTCTTCTCTGTAATATCTTTCTAGATCTATCTTTTTATACTAATCATGTTGATGATGAAGAAATCCTATCAAAGATTCGACTCTCTTGATATTAGAAAAATACTTGAAATTAACATAAAAACAAGCTAAGGCGAGAAACTTTTAATCCAGAGCAATAAAACGAGTGGAGAAAAGATGGAGCGCAATTTATATTTTAATCACAAGATTATTTACTCTCTTTAACAAGTAAAGATAGGCGACCACGATGAGTAGCGGTGGTTACCATCCCCAATCTCATTTTCGATTTGCAAGCATCAGCCACTTATCCTTTAGCCACTAATTACAGTTTCGACACTCAAGTGCGATCATTAAAACTCGAAAGGGGACGGAAACTTTTCAAATACTTTTCGCGAGGTGAATAATAATTCACGACAAAGTCGTCATTACTTTAACGACTGTGAACAGGTTTCGTAAATGTTCTCTTGTCGTCGATATCAAACTGCGAACAAAGCAATTATGTAATTCAATTCAAGATTCAGTTCAAAGTTTAATTTCGTTACAATGACTTCTGTTACATATGAAAATATTTCAGTCGCAATTCTCAAGAATCATTCAAGAGTCAACGGATAACGTAATCATGACATTTTTTATAATTTCATAAGAATAATTGTGTGCTTGATTATGTCTATAATTAAATTCTTGACACAAAGCTTTCACCGATTATTTAATGTTGAAATACTTAAAAGTATTTAGAGTATCGAGTTATACAATTTTTTGTTTCAAAAATAAATTCAACTTTACGCAATAAAATTTTTGACGTTTCATCAAGTTGAAATGATGACAAATAAGAAAATGACTTGTGATTAAGAATTGGCAAATTGCGAACATTTATTTACCTCAGTTTTTAATTCATTTATTTATTGTCAACATAAATTCTACAAAACCATAACTGATGAATTAATGTTGTTTGAAAGGAATTGAAAGCAAAGTTATTGCGTAATTTCCGTTGTGTCATAAAATATTCATTTATTAAATTGGATCTTCTTGTTTCATCTTAACAAAGTAAAATTTTAATCACTCATTAACCTGATAATAGTTCATTCATGCTATAATGACAAGACGTATTTATTAGATTTATTTGTGTTGTTAAGTCAGAAGATTTGTAAGCGTGAAACCATTCGATGCACTTGTGGAAGTCACAAATAAGTTCAGAACATTCAAAGTGAAATTATCATCACGTCATAACTTATCCCACCAGAAATAACTTTCTACATTCATTAATTTTTTTTATAGCATTTTCACATAAGAAGTCGCGTTTTGCCAGATCAAGCTGTTGATATCGAGCTCGTGTTCTTCCTTGGAGCGCATCATCAGACCATTCCAATTTTCTTTTCTATTTCACAAATAAAAGCCATTAAAAATTTTCTTTTCGAACAATAATTTTTTCGCCTCTCGCGTTCCAAAACGAAGCACTTTAGAAGTAGGAAAAATGATAATAAGGAAAATATTTTTCTTAATCACAATAATAATGACTTATCACTATAATTATGGCAGTTAATGTTTGTATAATCTTGAAATATGGTGGAACAGTTGGTCTTTGAAGTCGAAACGACTGTTCTTTCCTTTTTCTCGCTTTCAGCGAAATAAAAATGGAAAACTGTTGTTAAAAAGAGAAAAATGAAAGGAAATGAAGAAATTATATGATTCGTAGAAGCATGTGGAAAATGTTAATTAATCCTTTCTGCTACGTTTGACAAATCCATGAAGGATTTAACAGTCTAACAGAAGAAAGAAGAAGAATGTTGAAAATTGTCTCATTTCAAGCCTTTTGCTTTAATTGCAATGTATCGTGGAAATCTAAAATGATGATGGTCAACAGAACTCTAATCAATTTAAAATCTCCAATCTTGAATAAGAGACGTTGAGATCTAATTCTAAAGCAAATGAGTCATCACTTGCATCTTTTTGACGTTTCAATTTCTTCTTTAAAATACGTTTTGTGATACATTCAATATGCATTTCATGATATTTCTTGTTGCAACGATGCAAGTAGATGTAAATTATGATTTTATTCCTCGCTTGGTAAGGAAAATAGTGTTACGAATAGAAGGAAATTGTGAAACTTTTCAGACAACATAACAAAGTTATTTTGAAATGAAATTGCATTTTCTTCGTTTTCTTTTCATCATCAAAATGAAAGAAAAAGAAAAAAAATTGACGACAATTTGTTGCTGTTAGATTATGCAGAAAATTGCATATCATTCTTTTGTCACCGGCTACATGGTCGCACCATTCCACATTTCTATTTTCATTTTTAACATAAAGCAAAGAAATAAATAATTTGATGTAGAAAATGTCTTTTTACTGCTCATAAATTGTCACTTTGTTGTCGTCATTCAATTTCTGTCTTCTCGTTCTGTTAAAAATTTATTATTCACGAAAGGATAAAGACGAACATGGTGAAAAAGTAAAGTTTTGAAATGTTCTAAGCGAAACGACACAGACTTCAATAATTATTATTCTTCTTCTTCTTCTCTTTGTATTAAAGTATTTACTAAACATATTTAAAAAGTTTTCTCCGTTTCGAGCATAATTTTATTGCCATAATTGTTGATCCTTGTTTGTGTTTCGATATTTTAATTGCTTTTTTGTTTTTCCTCCGCCACGGCAATTGTTACACCAAGGAAACTTCTTCATGACTGTAAATAAAATCCTCCTGTATATGAAATGCTTAATAGACTTGCCAAATGAATAAGTATGGTGCTCTGCTATGTTGTGTATGCGCTGGTGTTATTTAGAATAGAAATAGTTGTCGCAATAGAGAAATTATTTCACATTAAAAAGATTAAAATTGAATAAAAAGGTATTTAAATAATTTACATAGCATAAAACACTTGATTCATAGCGAAATTATTCAAAGTTGCTTAGAATCATTGTCTCAGTTTAAAGAACTTCTGACTTATGACAAATAAAAAAAGGAACGAAAAATTGGCATGGACAGACAACAAATGAAGAGACCTTCAAAGAGTTGAACGATGGCAATGTGAAGTAAGAAAGATTCAAATGAAAAGTGATTTAAAAGTTCTACAAAAGATAAATCATTATAAAATTATTTTCGCTCTTTAGCTTGCTCATTCATGTTGTCGTCCATTTGTTCCAGTTTATCTTGCAATTAAAAACAAATGGCGCTTCTTTCTTTTGAGTATCATGATTTAATGTGCGATTTTTATGTTGTTATCCATGAAATTATGGCAAAAGACACGATTGTTGTAACCTAAGTTGTTTTTTTTCGCTCTTACTAAACTGTTTTTGAGCATTTTTCTGGTGCTCAAAAGCCAATTAATATCGCGGATAAAACACGGGGCAAGCATGAAGAGAGCAGAAAAAAAACTTTTTTGAACTCTAATGTCTTTCCGAGCACTTTTTTTTATCATTTAAATTATAAATTAAAATTAACAATCTGCTGCCGGAAGAAAGAAAAAAGTAGAACGAAAAACTTCTCCATCAGCGATTGTAGCAAAAGGCAATTGGTTAGATGAAATATGAATAAAGTAAGCTTGAGATGCTTTAAATTTATTGTGTGCGTGTGAAGATATGTATGCGAGCACATGAAGCCTTAACTAGAAGCAGAAGTTTTGAGTTAAAGCAATAGGCAATGAGGTTAAATATTTAATGATTATTAAACACAATTCATATAAATAAATCCCATTGCAAAATATTGTTTAGTTTATTTAACCCTTTTTTCTCCGAACAGCAAATACTCAACTTTGTTTAATAGAGGTCGAAAGAGCATCGAAATCTACAGGAGAAGGAAAAGAAAAAAATTATTTAAGTTTCGTTTTTGCTCTCGTTAATAAAGAAGGGCCATGAAAATATTTATTTAATTATTACAAATGAGGTGATTTTATGAATCCTTTTTTTTATCCTCATCTCCTTGTCGGTTATGATATCAGCCTAATACATATCTACATGGCAATGTTTTGCTTTTATCCATATTGATGTCGAAAGAACAAGGATGGGGACGTTTAAGTTAAACAAATTTCTCTGTTTTTGGTTTGCGTAATTTTTCGTATTCAGCCTTCGAGTCGGTTAATTTTACCTCATTTTTAATAACATGTTTGTATCCGGATACCTTTCGAACATATCCTTCGAGAAATGGATATTAATATGTATGCACATATAAGTATATATAAATATATATGCGGGGTGGTTTTGCACTTATATTTGCTCACATAAGTCGACCCGTTATTTTTCATATTTACACAGTTTTTATTTTATTTAGAAAAATCGAATGAAAAATTTTCCCCTTTTTCTACCTTTAGATTTTCCAGATCTCCCCAAAGAATTTTCTCTTCATTACGCAAAGAGGCTAGATGGGCTACTACTTGCCTGAATGCTTTTCTCGGAATAAAAATCTCTTTCGACATTAAAAACGAGTGAAAATGAAACAAATGAAACCAATTTCATTATTAAAATGAAAATAAATAATTTAATTTTCGCCAGAGTTTTATTTCTACCTTTTACGGTCAATACGAATAACGATGGACGTTTGCTGTGCTGTTTATGAAACTGCCATTTGTTATTGTAGCGTAAGGAGAAAAAGCCGAACTAAGTTTCATTTTAGGTAAAATTTGTAAAATAATCATTAAAAATTCAAAGCTTTTGCGTTTCTTTTGCCTCATTATTTCATATTGGTCATCGTGTTATTTATGATTTTTATGCTGCTAATTTTCTCTGTTGACGATGTTCAAAAAATATTCTGCATTGAGTTCGGAGAAGGTTCTCCAACTTTTGAGGTAAAATAAATTTTATTTCTCATCGTGATCGCATCGTAAACACAATTTGTTCTTTGCATGGTTGAGCTTTTGTCTTTCTCGGCCTTTTAATCTTATTATTCACATGGAAGAGAGATATTCAACCACCTAAGCACATCCTGGCTAATATCAATTAATTTTTTATTCTTTCTGACATTCAAATGAAAATCCTGGAAAAATTATTCTGAAAAACATTCATTACAATGAGAAATAGAAAGAATATTAAAATTATTTCGTTTGTCCATTATTAAAATATGAAATTATTGCGTTGATCTTTTTTTCTGAATAAAAGAATGTCTAAAATATTAATGTTTGCTCCAAACCCATAACATTTCGAAGTCAAGCTTCACAAAATAGCAGAATACGCATAATATCTTTTAGTAATTATCAAATGAGAAAAACAGAAAGATTAATATAGGAAAATACTGGTCACGACGATTCAGTCGCTAATAAACAAAAGAAATAAATAAACGAATTGCTATTATTTGTGGAGAGTTTGAAAACCTTTTTTTTTTTATCTCATTCGCTTTCCTTTTAATAAGTCCCTTCACTTCTTTATATATTAATATGCAAAAAGCGGACAAAATTTTCTGCTTTTAGGTGGTTGGAGGACGACGAACATTCATTCATAGCATGTAGAATACAAATTTCGCGTCTTTTAATAGAGACTGAGTAGATATGATGATGAAAAAAAGCAATACGAAACGAATGCCTGCGAAAGGATTAAATAGGGAAAGCGAATAATGGTTTTGTATGCACCACACATCGCTGAGTCTGTAGATTTAAAATTTGACTAAAAGACGACTCTCTAGGGTGTAAGCGGATTGAAGTTATCCTCTGGTCGCCAATGTGGTTTTGAGAACTCAACAACAAACGATTGACTAGAGTGATTCAAAAGGATTATTATTTAAAATTAAAGCACATGTTGAGAAGATCAATTTCTAAATAATCAAATCTTAAAAGTTTTCATTCTTTGAAAGACGATGAAACACAAAGATAAAGTTGAAATCTTTTATAACATTTTTGAGTGTCATGGAGTTCTTAAAAGCAACAATTTAAATGAAGTTAGATGAAAATTTAATCAAGTTTAATATTTATTTGAAAAAGTTTGACAAATGCATTTGAAAAATTAAACATTTCTCCTCTAGCAACGACGACAAGTTAGTCAACTTATTTCTCAAATAGATCTGAAGTGCAATTGATGAAAAGTAACTTTAATTAAAACTTAATTGAATGAAGTTAAGCAAATTATGATCGAGAGACGTGAAGCGATTTGTCGCCATGCCAATTGGAATGGAATTTGAAATGAGCTTCGTTTTCGTTGGAAAAGTATTTAATTTCATTTTGCGATTTTTGACTCGACGTGAACTAGTTGGGCGGGATGAAACGGTGTGAGAGACAAATAAATGGAAGAATTAAATTGAAAAATTGATATTTTCCGTTTGCCTTGTTTGGAATGTCGGCAAAATTAACTCTCTTTAACTCAATAAATTTTCCAAAGTTTCGCCGTGCAAATTGGCGTCATTACGTTTACAACATCGCAGCCCAAAATGCCATTTCTCTTTTCGCTTATCACATTGAAAAAGTTTCTTCAAGATACCCCAATACCCGTCACCGTCAAAAAGCCTAACATCGTCGAAGAAAAGTTGAGGCTTATCGTTTAATTAGTTGGAAGTGGTAAAAAGTGAGAGCGTAAAAATTCAAACGACTTCTCGACTGTCTGTCTTTTTCTTTTATATCGGCCTATAGAATTTAATTCCTTCACAATAAATTTTTCATTACACGGAGAAAAAGATGCGGCAAAGACAGGCAAGAAAGAGAACAGCAATAAAAATTTTGTAAATTGATACTTTATAAGCAAATTAAAATAATTTTTCGTGCCACTTTTAATACGTGCGGCCTGTTATCTGCTGTTTGAATTTTCTTTTCGTACTTCTACTACCAATGCTTGTGAAAATTTAATTACGCCTTTTCACAGGCTAGAGATGATTGAGAGAAGGGAAGGGAGGCGGGTGAGGATTATCTAAAAGGGTTTTTCACTTTTTCCTTTTCCCCATCATCGAGGAAAATCGAAAAATTATCTAGAAAAATTTTCTTTTTTGTTGAAGGTGTTAGTTGTTGTAGGGAGGAAGGGGAGAGAGGGTGGAAGAGCTTATGTAAATTCTACTCCTATAAAGTTTATGATATAAAACTGTAGCGATTATTTCAGATGATTTTTTCAACACTTTTAATGAGAATTGTGCCAGTGCCACTGTTTTTACTTTTGTTCAGTTCGGTTCTCCTATCCCTCGTTTACCAAAGTCGTTATCAATATCTACCCCTTCATTACTTTAAGTAAAACGATGCTTTTCCTCCTGTTTTAATGTTTATTTACCATTGAAATTAAAATTCGGTACGTGGTGTCTCTTAAGCAAGAAATGGGTTTCTGGTTAACGGATCAAATACTCTCTTATAACACCGATGATTGTAAGAAGGAAGAAATTAACGAGCACTTTGAGTTTCAATATTATAATTACAAGCACTAATGCTTTTCCATTTTCTCTCATTCCTTCGCAAGCTTGAAAGTTATTGAAAGATCAATTCATAAGTGAAAATGAATGGATAAAGACAGAAAGCAGAAAAAAGTGAAAATCGCTAATTGCGACGAAGAATAGAATGAAAGAAATCATCTGAAAATGTACTTAGAAAACAAGAAACACTTTTAAGGAACAGAATCCCCACCGGCAACATATATTTTTCGAATGTTGTTTCTCAAGAAAAACTCCGCGCAAATGTTAACAGCATAAATTTTATGTTCTGCGATAATATTTTCGAGGCTTAATGGCATTCATGATTATTGGGTGTAATGTTATTTTATTTACATGAAAAATAATTAAAACAAATTACTCATCTTATTATTATTTAGCAAAGGCGGGAAAGGAGAAAGTGGAGAAAATTCGGAGTTGTTAATGAATGTGATGTTAGCGGGGGGTGTGGATAATAAATTGGTGATTTCTTCCTTTTTTGTTTCATTTCATATCTTCTGTTTTGAATTATAATAAACTGAATCAAAAGTAAAAATTATCTGCTGAATATTTTCTTGGAAATCTTCTTCGTCTTCTGTCTTGTATGCTTTGTTGTCATCTTGGGAGCTGCATAAATCCTTTCAACAAAAAATAACCTCGTTGATTAGATCTCCAGATACCCATTAATTTTGTATTACGTATAAGTGCGAATGTTTTCATGTTTCTTCTTTTTTTTCATCGTTGTCGTTAGTCAACTCTTATTCCCCGCATCATCACGCATACAACCCTTTTTCGCTGCCACAGCAATAAGCACACTGAAAGGAACAAAAAACATTTAAATGGCGAAGAATTTTATTAAAAATTTTTGAAATATAAATATTTTTTCGTGTTTATGTTGTTTTATCTCTTATTTGGTTAAAATTTTCTGCTAGTGATGTTTTGTGTTTCCCACAACACGGTCCCACATCGCGAGTGACAAGATAAAAGTCTTCCTCATATCACAAATAGGATGACACAATGTGATGCTTCTAATGAAGTGTTTCTTCCAACTATTAAATCTTATGATTATAATATGCATATTTGAGTCATGTACAAGCAACATAAATTTATATTTTTCATGTACCGTTGGTAATGCCAAGTCTCGTAGATCATCAAATCATAAGAATCATAAAATTCTTATAATGAAAATTTCTTGGAAAATTTCAATACTTTCATCTATAATTATCCATTCAATGGCAACCACATAAACAAAAATTCATCTTTATCTTCACATTGTTTTTTATTTTTAATTTCTTTTCTTTATACAAGGAAAATGAGTTTAATTTTCAACGAACAACAACATCACTCTGCTGCGCGATATGTAGTATATTTAATGCCGCTGTTTATGCTTTTGTCAAAAGTAATGCAATAAATTATCATAATAAAAATTATAAACCATACATGTTTATGCTTTTTAATGTGAGTTTTCTTTCTTGTTTGCTTCAGATATCTGGCTGATAAATGCCATCATGTATGTTAGCTTCCTGCGCTTTCTTTCTTCGTTTTGTTCCCCCCTCCAATGTATGGCTTTGAAATGAACAAATTTATGTAATGTATCCTTCCTTTGAATATATTCTTCTTTCTTTAATTAATCTCCATACACCATGAAGTTATGACTTGTGGAGAAATAAATGAAAACTTTTCCTCCAATTTTTTATTGCTTCTAATTTTTATGATGCTTCATTCATTCATTCCTTTATTCACTGAAACTGAAAGAATGGAAATATTTGGCGTCTTGTAATTTTTGTTATTTTATTTAACAATTCAAGTCAAAAATCAACAATAAACTTCATTGAAGGAGTTTTTCGTGGTTTGATCGTTGGAAATAATTTACTGATTTTAACACTACCTAGGAAGAGTGTAAATATTCGTGGATTATTTTCTTCATCACTAGACGAATCATGGAAATTTCTACCAAAACAAATACCACAGGAAAATTACGCGAAAAAGTAGCAGCAAATTTATTGTTTGCTTAGCTTTTGAAGTGGACAATGTGTTGGTTCATGAATCCCAGTTGAAAAACTCTTCTCAGCTAATGTTTAGTCACAAGTTATGGTCAGTAGAAAAGTTCCTTCACTGGGAATCTATTCCATTATTTGTGTGAAGAGTTCACAGCAGTAAGTAATGCATGCAGAAGCACGATCGTCTCATTTTTTTTCTCACCATCACGATGGTCATATTATTTCATGCCTGAAATTCTATTGCGGTGAATTTTTTTTATCAGTCTGAACATAAAATATAAGCGATTAAAAATGTTTATTAAAAGTTTTTATCGCTTCCTTTCTTTACATCTCGTTCGATGTCGTTCAACAATTCAACCCTTTTGCGTTTGTTGAACACAAGTATCGAGATTGCGATGAAACCAAATTTATTGGAATCTGAAGTTACTCCCGTCTCAAATATTTTTATATTATCTCAGCAAATGGAATGAGATTGACTTTTATGTCTGTAACATTAAGTAACACGATGGTGAATTAAAAAAAAGGGTTTCAGAGTTTTTTCCACTTCGTGTCGAGAAGAGAGATTAGCAATGTTTAGATGTTGATAAGACAGTAGAAAGAAGGTGATTTTTAATCAGTTATTGAAAGGGTGAGTGTCACTTTTACCCTAACAGTTTGTGACTGAATTCCTCAAGAAAGACAAGCCACGTTCCGAACATTTTTCCGAAGGATATCTCCTCGACAAAGGCTATAAAGCATATTAAAGAATACATTAAACTTAGCATAATTAATTATGTTTTATAAATGTTGCAACATAAAAAACGCAGCATTATAATTACTAAAAAGAATTGTAACCAGTTGGGATCCAGCTTTTAGTATCTAATTGAAAATTATTTAAAGTCTGAATTTATTTTATTTTCCTGATATTTTTCTCCTTCTCAACTTTTGCAATTTTTCTTATTTTTTTGTTCTGTTATTCAAGAAGCATTAATTTATCTTATCTGTTATTACTTGGGGATGGAAAGGATGAAAAAAATTTTATGACCGTTTGAAGGAGTTATGGAGTAACATTTATTGCCTTTTTTAAATATTTCTTTTTTTGCTCTTTTTTTTATAGATCGAGGCTTAACAATGCAGTGCCCACGACGAAAAGCTTAAATCCTTTTCTTCTCCTTTCATTATGTTTTCGCTTGTTGTTTCGAGGCAATAGACTGGAATCAGTTGTCATAAAAATTAATAAAGATTGTTTTACGGGATGAAAAAAATATAAATGATTTTCTTTCTTTCTTTTGTATTTTTCTTTCTTTTTTTTGGTAAATTGAAGATAAAAAATCTCAAGGGAAGAAAAACGTTTGGTTCCAATAAAATCCTTTTCTGGCCACATGAGACTTTTCCTTTGAATCATCGACCACTAGCACAATGTTGAAGATTTTCCTTCAACTGCACAACATAACAGAGCTGAGTTCTTATTTAACCCATCCATTTATTACTTTAATAAATAAGAAGAAATTGTAGTTTGTAGAATAAATTATTGGGTTACTTATCATCTGAATCTGCAAGCTTTGAGCCTTTTCATTTCTTCTTTTTCATAATCTTCAGATTAAAGATGGAAAAAAGGTTTAACATGTTCCATGTGTTTGAAACTGTTTACGAATCTTTTTTTTTCCACTTTCATTTCAACATTTTTTGTTCCTTGTCTTTCTTCGAACCAAAGCAAAAGAAACAAAAAAAAATTAATCCGATATAAAAATATACATCCGGAGCCATTAACAGTTTAATGTAAGAGAAGCATAAAAAAATTACATAATGTGGCAACCGACCACAGCTTTTCCTCGTCTCTTCTTTTGTGTGCTTTCTCCTTCAGGTTTGAGGGTGATCACCCGCTCTTACATTCGTTGCTTCGTTTGTTCGACCCACGTTTATTAATTCGTGGTCATGAAAGAGATTTTTTTTGTTCTCATTCTTAAAAGCAATCCATGCAATTTACTCAGTTAATACTTGTAAAAGGGTTGGAAAAATGCTTCGTCGTCGCGTTTTATATGTTTGGCGGCAATTTAAGGAAAGAAGGAAAAAATGGGGAAACCAACAGAGGTCAACAAAGTTGGAGGAGATTTGTTAATAGTTGTAATTAGCAAATTATGCATTCAACTGCATTTAGATGACTATCAAAAACTTCTTTTTCTCACGATAACTTTAACAAAGTGAATTTAATGAGTAAATACAAGAAGATTAAATATCTTTCATTATATGGAGACACTAAATTCAAGAGCTTTTGCAACTGGTTTCTAAATTACTTCTTGCCTCACTTTCTCAACCCTCGTCCCACACGATTCCAAAACTATCTTAAATAGCAACGCAAGAGAGGATTTATGATGGAAAAATGAACACAATAGTTTATGTAAATAGTAGTTTCACTTCTTATGTCACATTGCCATAGTATTATTTCATAATTAATTACTTTTAATTGTTTCTTCTTTAGAACATTCGCTCTCACTCACTCACTTTGGCCCGCCCGCAACAAAATTATACAACAGCAAAATTATCATAAAACTAACGGGAAAAAATTATAATTTCAAGTGAATAAATAACACCAGTTGACATTTTAAATCCGGTTCCGTTTTCAGGTCTTGGAGAAAAAAGGATTAAGATGAAGTTTCTCCAGCTTTTCCTTCCATTAAGCTCTCTCATGCTTCCAAGTATTCATCCATTTCTCTACTCTACCATCGAAGCAAAGGAAGGGAATTTTCTTAGCTTTTGTAAAGTAGAAGGCGATTCGTTGATTTTAATCTTAAAAAATAATTAATGCTAATTAGTCTCTTAATGAGATCTCGACTTCCGTCAGTAGAGTTGCAGTTAATTTTTGTGCAAGTCTTTTGATATTGTTTTCAAGACAACAAAGATTGCAACAAGTTTCAGAGCTTTTATCTTTTGATAAATTTTTAATGTTACAAATTACTCTAGAGTTAAATTATGAGGTTTATGCTAATTAATTAATGAAATTGTGGTGAATAGTTGTCTACATATATTTTATTCAAATTTTTATTACATCATCGAATATAAAAATTATTTTTGATTGATTCTTATAAAATAATTGATGTGTTGTTGAATTGTTAGATTTCTTCAATTATCAATTTAAATTGCTTGTTATTCATCATTTTATTTAATCAAATAGAAATGTTTTAACTTCTAACCCAGAGTAGTTCATACAGTTTTAACCTGAAACATTGAAATAGATTTGCGTGTATAAAAATCATTTAAAAACGTTCGGACTTCTCTGATACGATTGTGTAGATGATTGGTTCACGACGTAAGAGTGTAAGTTCTTCAGCTTCTTTCTCTTTGAAATCTTCCATATACTCCTTGGATTCTTCATCAGGTGAGATAATCAAGCTGAAAATCCATTTGCAGAGGGCTACGAAAAGAACGAAAGCAATCAAGGAGATTCCAAATATTTTCAAATCGTATTCATATGAAATCATTTCATCGATGACTCTCTGCTTCTCAACTATTTCGTTGTTGAGATCAGCGACAACTTCGTCTTCATAATCTTCGCGTGCAAGTTCAACAGATTCCAAAAGTATGAGAAAGTCCGTCTTTTCAGCGTCAGACTTATCGATGGAGTTGTAATAGCATCGTTTCAAAGCGTAGTCATAATCAGTGTTTTGATTCTTCCCATCGACAATCTTAATCAATGGCATGTTCTCCAGGATAGTTTTTCTTGTGCATGGATTGTTCATCACGTTAAAAACTCTGATTTGTGGCAGTGTGTACAAAAATCCAAATGATATGGCAGAGATCCGGTTGTTAGCAATGTTGATTCCATTTAATTTATCGTTTTCCATGAACATTGAAGCGTCCAAAAATTCAAGCATATTTCCAGAAATATCCAAATTCATTAAACTTACTAGCGGATTGAAAGTGTTTGGCTCGAACAGGTTGATTAGGTTCTTACTTAAATTCAGATTTTCGAGATGTTCTAAATTCTTAAATGCATGTGGACTTATTACTTCAATTCGATTTTCAGCTAAATTGATTTCATTGAGATTTGTAGCACCTTCGAAAGAATATTTTGGCAGTATTCTGATTTTATTTCCAGGAAGGTAAAGAAACTGTAGACTCGATGCTTCCCTAAAAGTATTGTTTGCAAATTCACGAACACCAGGATTGGTCGCCATTATGCACAGAAGTGACGGAAATTTAGAAAATATTGTCTTGGGAATTGAGTGCAATGAACAAGATGTAAATTTCACAGCTAAAATTTTATCATCACTATCTGGAATCATTTCATTTAATTTTTTATCGTCCATGTTTGCATTAAAGATGAAACAATTGGTTGAAGTGCATTCTGCAGTTGGACCTTGCCTTAGAGAAACAGCTGAGGCGAATCCAACAAAGGCTAATATAATGAAACTGAAATTTAACAAATTTGATTAATTTTCCTCGATAAATTTAATGATTTTAATGAAATGCTTACAATTTCATTTCAATTTTTCTTTGTTATGAATATTAAGAACTGCAACTATCGACAAAAACTCCAAAACTAAACTAAGATATGTTCTAAAGTCACTTTCCACTCACATAAGTTGAAAATCTACGAGCATAAATGTCAATGTATTAATGTGCGTAGTATCGAGATGTGTGAAGCATAAAAGAAAAAAAAACTGTGCGTGTCATGAACAAGATGAGCTAACATTGTTTTTTTTCTAACACATAAATAGTCATATCGTAGTTTGCTACCTGATAACTTCAATACTAAGATTTAAATACGTTATTTTACAGGCAAAATTGATAATTATGGGAGGAGATTGTGTCGAGACGAAGTTTTAATTTATTAATTGTCTGGTCTGACGTTTAAATCATTTTAAAAATTTTCTGGAAATTTCTATTCATCAAGTGCGATGCAAAAACTTCGCTATTCATTGTCCTGACTAGCGCTACTCACTGAAAATAGCGAGGGTTATTTTTTTCTCAATGTTGGTATCATGCTACTTAGAATATGAATAGACTGCTACTCACAAAATAGAAAGGAATAGCAAAATGTGTTCGCTATTGAGTTAGCGCTGATGTCTCGAATTTAAAATAAGGATTTTTTTTAATTCTTTTTCATACTTTTTACATTATTTGAAATCTTTAAATATTACTTCTTTTCTAATTTACTTGATTAAATTAATAAAAGTAAACAATTTTTCATTTCAACTATTTTACTATTTCTTACATAATGTAGGAAAACTTTTCAATTGAACTCGATTAACATTTTGATGCTTCTTTGATTTATTGAATTTTATTGCTCGAGTTAAACCTTTGTTGTCATCATTATTTAATGACATCACCCTCTTGCTTCTTGAATATTAAAGAGAGATTGTCACAAGCAATAACTTTTAATATGTCTCAAATATATTTGTAAATATAGAAAACTCCCTTCGGGCTGGAAGTACACAAAATATAGAAAAATGAGCGACATTATTTTGCAGGGTGAGTGAATTTTTAAGAAGAATTTCCGTGTTATAAATATATCTCGCGGAAATTTAATAGACGTTATAGATACTCTGATACTACTTGATACGCATCAGTTACCCTCTTTCATCCTGTAGATTACAACATCATCCCCATTCCAATTGAATGGAAGGAGAAATAAATTGAAATTTTTTTTCTGTCGCGAAGGTGAAATGTTTGATGGATTATCTCAAACATCAAAGATTTCTAAAGCTTATATTTAGAAGTTCTTTCTTTTTTCAATATTGTAAAGGTTTCTGTTTATTATTGACAGTTAATATTCAGTTATAAAATAATCTTGTTTCATGTTTCCATTTTATTGAAATGACTTTAGCCTTAGAACATTTATGGATGTGAAATTAATAACTTATTAAAAATTTTTTAAATTGCTGTAACTGAGATTCTCATAAAAGATAACTAGAAATAAGATTTCTCGACTATTCTATCGTCACTAAAGATGAAACGAGTGAAGATATTTCACTGAATGTAAAACTTATCTGCTCTACCATCAAACCCACATTTGATCCATAATGGTATATCAAATATTCATAAAGAAATCTACATATTGTTTATTGAAAAAATTCCACTGACTGTCATGACAAGAACATTGTAGCAAATTGTGACATTTATATTTTTTATGGATAAACGGAAAAAGTATTTCATGTACTTGAAAGATGAATTTTTTATTGCTGTTTGTTTGATAAGGAAAAGAAATGAAAGGAAGATTGTGATATAAATGTGGAATAAATTATGGATTGTTATGAAGGATTCAACGAATTTTTGAATTGATTTTGAACAATTAAAGTTTATTGTTCCCCTATCAAAGCTAATCTTTCACATATCGCATGTTAATAAAATTTCTCCTCTACCAATCCTCAAGATTCCCTTCAATTTGTACCCTTTTTCTTGTTTTGAGTCAACTCATGTTCACTTTAGATTTGATTAATTTCTATCAAAGCTTTTATTTCTTCTAACACTTAACCAAATCTTACTTTCAAGATTGAATTTCCAAATATTTCCATCAACTCCTTCCTTTCAAACTCCCCCGCAAAACCAAATGAGATGAAATCATTCCGTGCTTAAGATGAAATCTAAATACCCGGAAAAATCTTTTAGAGCAATCGAATGCCTTTCGAGACTTTTCAACCTATTTACAATGTCATTTATAAAATTTGATCCTGACACATGCACAACACAATGGAATGAGAAGCAAAATTTGCGCGTAAAAGAACGTGAAATAATTTCTTTTGTTTTGTAATATGAAGTGTCTACGCCTTGGTGATGACGATGATATGTAAAGTTGATTGTAGAAAGAGATCTTTGGGATGAGGAAACTCTCATGTGTACATATCTAAAAACTCATACATCAAATTTAATTAATTATAGAATTTTCTAATGTTTCCAAATAAAAACTCTTGACTACAAATTTGTACGAAAAGGAGTTTGAAAAAGTATAATGAAAGATTTTAAAGCGATTGACATGACATAAAGTGTCGCTTTATAATAAAAGTTGAATTAACTTGAATCTTCATTTGGGAATTCAATTTAAAAATTTTTTGTCGATATATTTGATTTGGTACAGTTAGTTAAGCTGGAAATCTCCATTTATCTAGTAACCTAATTTCTTTCCAAACTCCCACAACTTAAATAAGGCATCTCATTTATTCAAGTTGAATATTTAATCAATTTCATTGAGGAAGGCAAATCGTGTAAGGCAATCATGCGACAATTTTCATTAAAGATTTTCCACTCATTTATTTTGTTTGATTGTAAGTGACATTTAACATTTATTTTCTATTTGATACGACAATTCAAAATCATTCAAGGAAGGGTTTGGAGATGTTTCTTTAAAATGTCTAATGTTAAATATGTTTTGTGCCATTCACGTTTTCAATATTTGGTAGTTTGATTAATGATATCAAAATGTATTTATCCATCAAGTTTTTCTTCGAGACGAAACGGAACGGAACATTCCTGAATCCTAGATTCGTTGTCGCTTAAATATCTCTTCAGATAGATATAATGAAATCTTACATTGGGGAAAATCAGTTGAAATTAGAAAAGCTAGACATTCTAATCAAATGGTTTGATGTTTGTCGTGAATTGAATGTGATTTTCTCTCATTTTCTCCAACCTTTTGTATCTGAATCTCTAAGACGTCAATCAGAAAAACAAGACAAGGAATTTGAGGTTGGCAAGATTGACATAAATTAAGAATTTGAGTTAAAAAGGGAGGAAATACAGAATTAAATATTTCAAGTTTTGTAGCTTTCAATCAGAGTTCAATTAATGAAATCTTAAGAAACCGCTACATAATTTCATTAATTTTTAATTTTTAACCGTCGCTTTGAGAATTGACCAAACTTTAAATCTATTCTTGTAAGCATTTTGATGGAAGATTGATGGTAATGGATCATTTGTCTTACATAAATTATGCATAAATTATGCATATTTTACATATTTTTTGCATATTTTATGCATATTTTATGGTAATGCATTTTTTTTGCATAAAATATGCTTAATTTGCATAAAATATGCATAAATTATGCATAATCGTATGCACACTTTATGCACAGAAAATGCATAAATTATGCATATGTAAGACACAGGACCGCACATTTTATGCGTATTTTATGCGTATTTTACGCATATTTGTTACATAATATTGCATAAAATATGCGTAAAATATACATATAATATGCATAAATTATGCATATGTAAGACACAGGACCGCACATTTTATGCGTATTTTATGCGTATTTTACGCATATTTATTACATAATATTGCATAAAATATGCGTAAAATACACATAAAATATACATAAATTCTGCATATGTAAGACACAGGACCGCACATTTTATGCACATTTTATGCAGTTTTTTTGCATCAAATACACATAAAATATGCATAAAATATGCATAATTTGCATAAAATGTGCGTAAAATATGCATAAAATATGCGTAAAATATGTAAGACAAATGATCCATAATCATTTCATTAATTTTTAATTTTTAACCGTCGCTTTGAGAATTGACCAAACTTTAAATCTATTCTTGTAAGCATTTTGATGGAAGATTGATTAATGAATTAAAAGAAAATAATAAAAGAACGTGAAAGGATTGAAATGATTTGGTGAATTAAGCGAGTAAATTTACAATCTACATGCTCGCGTCATGACGCTGAATCACGTTGGTTGAAATCATTAGCTTCTGAAAGATGTTTCGAATGACGCCCTCGCAAGCATAAAATATGCGTGAATATGATATGTATAGAAATTAAAACCATCAATCACGTCTTGCTTATCTTGTTATTGAAATATTTTAATTTTCTTATTAACGCGCTTTCCTAAACTCTTTTTCTTTTTCTTCCGACATTTCTTAATGATTTTTAAGAAACGAAAGAGAGATGAGATGAGAACTTCACCCCGTTTGAGAAATTAATCTTTTCATACATATGATCGCAGCATAAATATATATGACATGCTTTTTTCCTCACAAGCTAAACATAAGATTGAAATATTTCTGAGAATGAGATGACGATGCTGAGGGTGATGGGGTGGTGAGAAAGTGGAGGCATTTTGATAATGAGAGCGAAATAAATCATCACTTGAATAAATATTGTTCTAAACATTTTCCATTTATTCTATGGAATTGAAATCGCGATCAACATTCATTCTTTCATTATTCATAACACTTTCTTCGCTGTTGTCATAGTTTCTTTTGAAGAACTTGTTATAACGATACTCAAATATAAATTCAAATGATTTCAACAACTACGACATTAGCATGACAAATAATGAGTAATTTTAGTTTCCATTTCTCGTGGTGAAGAGAAAAACTTTTATCCTTTTTTCTTAGCATTTTCAATGAATTTCTTTAATCACGTTAACTAAAAAGAAATCATAAATTATATTATGTTTGAACTTCAGATTTTCAAGAGGTGAGAAATAAAAAAGATGTGAGGCGTACGTATTTAACTGCATACATAAATATGCTAACAAAAATGAAATATTAATATTTTATTCTTTTATTCTTCGTCAGATGAAATTTATACACTCATTAGTTCAATGTATATAAGAATCTCTTTCCATCTTGAGCTCCACTCGTCACATTCTTTTGCTATTTTTCACTTCCCATCGCTCCACATTCAGTCGGGAATACGCAATTAATTTTATCATTCGCATTCATTTGAATTGTTTGTACATTGTAAACGAATGAGGGAGAAAAGTATTTTCGTATGAGGAATATATCATTTTGATTGAATTAAATTATATTGATTGAATGTGTCAACAGTGAATAACGAGTATAGTCGCACACATGTCTTGAGATTTATTTTAAGTTTTTCCCATCTAATTAATATTCATGAATTGAAGTTTTCCTTTTCCTACTTTCCTCTTCTTTGTTTGGAAAATCAAAACGAGATATTTATTTATTTTCTAATCCTGTTCACATTCACATCGCAAGACGTCTTCTGCCTTATCACCTCATTCCATTAGAGAAATAGTTTCGTTTATGAAAATAGTGATGAAAATTAATTCACACGAAAATATATTCAGAAATCAAACTTCGAGACGTTTTCTTAAAGGAAAGACTTTTCCCTAAACATTCCACCTAAACAAATATTTAGTTTGAATTAATTTTCAGTTGAAGACAGATGCGGGGACATATGTGAGATGGTAAAACTAATCAGTCGACAAGAACTCGTCAATCGAGAAATTAAGATTTCTTATGCAAATCAACTCCTAGGCATATTGCGGTGGAAATATGTGTATTCAATGGTGAAGTATTAAAACCTTGATTAACAAGAATAAATAAAGAACTTTTTTTTCTTTGTTGGCACGAACATGATTTTGAATCGTTCGAATTGGAAGTTTATTAATTTCTCCTCAATGTTATGCAACTTCTTTGACAATTTTCAATATTTTGCCCCTCAACGTATATGCAACATGTAGAACTAGGGCAAATTACTTTGTTTTTGTTTATGAAAATATTTTAATGAAAACTTTTTTTTCTGAATATTCAATTCTCTCAATCTTTAGATCAGAAGCTGAAAAACACTTATAAACAAACAATTTTTCCTTTCACAGATTTAAGCGAAAATCCAGATGCAGTTAAGATCATGAAACCATGGAAATGTACCATTTCTTAATCTTATAATAATCTTTTTTGATAAAAAGATTTTCGTTTTTCTTCTTTTACGTGTTATTTGAAGTTAAGTAGATGAAAAATGCTAGACAAAGCTCGAACATTGCTTCTTCGTTTCACTCTGTTGGGAATGTCCAGTCGTAATTCCACATTTATAGAAACCATTTATTTTATTGCTTTCAACTGAATGCTAAACAAGTGAAAAAATCGTTTCTCCATGGTTTTTCCTTCACCTTTTTATATTATTCCCTTCATAGCTTCATCTGATAATGTAATAATTTATCAAAAATAAATTATTTTCATTACTTTATTTCTTTTCCCATCCGCACATATGTCTATATTATATCATTACCCATCATCATTTAGATAGTTGCTGTTGCCTATGGACAATGAAGAGTCAAATAATGTTAAAGGAAGCAAAGTTATTTTGCCTGAATCTCTCAACTACCTTATAGATTGAATTTACTCAATTCAATAGAATTTCCCTTTTGTTGATGAATGATCGATCATTAATCATTTTATGCTCTTTTATAACAGCATAAATATTCGATGAGATGGAATTGCAACGAAATTATTTATTTTGGTAATTGGAAGGTGAAGAATTTATGATTAATTTGCAAAGTCTGAATATTTATTCGAAATCATATTTTTAAAAGATTTCTTCAATAATTAAATTTTTGTCTTTATGATGTTTGTAATGTACATACACGAAGTAAGACTAAATAAATCTTCTGTATTTAATGATTACAATCGTAATAATTCCATTTACTTAAATCACAAGACTTAAGTAGCTCTTAGTTTATTTAATCTTTATGGATGAAATAACAAGAAATCACCAAGATCAAATATTCTCGATGACAACAAGAACATCAAGAACAAGCCATTGATAAAGTGAAAAGAAAGATGATGTATTTAACATCAACAATTATCAGCATTTTACGAACATTCATTTATGAAAAATATCGTCCAAACCCAATGGGGGAGAGAAAGAACAATTTAACGACCATCATACGTTTAATAACATAATCTGTTTGGAATTAAATGCAGATGATACATTTTATCTTCACTGCATTCAATTAATGCAATCGAGAACTCTTGAATTTATGATTTATGAAATGTTTTTTCTTCCGCAACAATCTCCTATGTTTGCAGATAAATTGATTCTCCCTTTGCCTTCGAACTTTCCACATATTCGATATTTATTTTCTCTTCTCTTATGCTTTTGCTGCTTTAATATGTGATGTAAGATAAATGCATAAAGTTTATGTATTTTTGACTTTGAATAGGGGGCGGCCAGGCTATTTGTTGCTTGGGCAAATATTTGACATGTTCATAAATCTATTGTGATAGAAAGGGACCGATGATGATGATCCGATTTTCGTGCCACAATCAATTTGACTCCCCCGCTTAAGTTTGATGCTTTCAAAAATATTCCCAGTGAAGTAACAAATGTCAGAGAAAGAGAAATTCAACTGACCTGTTATCAAAATAAGCATCAATTCTTCTTTGTTTACCAGTGCTTTTGACTTCAATAAAACATCTCGTGAGTAGTTTTTAATACCAGAAGAATGTCTGTGCATAGTTTCAATCGTGTATTGAATTCATAATAGCAATTCAGGTGGATGGACGAGTGTAATGTGCGATTCACATGTTTCAAAAGGAAATTCAGTTTGCTTTATAAAAAGAAATAGTGTTGCGACCTCACGTTGAATGATTGCTTCTTTTACCTCCGGCTTTTGCATGATATTTAGACAAATGATAGAAATGGGAAAAGAATGAGAGAGAGAGGGAGTAGGACGAAGTTGAAATGGCACAAAAATGTGTACACACATGATGGCTTTTATTAATTTTGATGTATAACTTTCAATTTTTATTCATCGAGGTGAAACGACAGCGACGTCTGATGGAAGTGAGTTTGCTATGTAGGGAGGAAAAATGACGAAGACTCTGGGGGTTGGGAAGATTAGAAATCATCTTAATATTCATAAATATCCATTCTCAAAACGCGCACTAAGCAAAAAGGAAAAGATGGAGAAATAATACATTCGAAAATGTGAAAATAAATATTATAAATGACATCGTATTCATCATCGTTTTACAAATGATATTTTCTACATAGTTATTTGAAAAGCTTGAATACGTGTGTAGAAATATCAACCTTCTTGACATTTGTTTGTCGTTGGTGTTGTTGCCATCCCCAACCCCTTTCCATATTCTTTCTTCTTTTATTTTCTCACAATTCAGCTTCTTAAGACATTGAAAACAACTCCTTTCCCCCAACCATTATGTTGCCCTCAAAGCCAGATACAAAGAACAAAACTTTTTTCTCCTCATTTTTTCTTTCACTTTTAATTGTGCTGATAAAAAACGCTGACAAAAAAGGAGAAATAAAGAAAGAAATTCTTCATAGGGATCACATTATTCTGTATGTTCATCAAACAACCGGAAAAACCCTGTCTTTAGGAGAATTTATGAAAATTTTAATAAATGAACTTTTGAATATTGTCGAAAGTTTTCTTTCATCAAACAACGAACATGAAAAGACGTCGACAAGAGAGGAGAAGAAAAAAGAAACTTCAAAACAATATTTACAAGAATAAAAAACACGACTTAATGTGAGCGATATGTTTTCTGTTTTCCATCATGTGTAATGAGAATTTTTATCATCAGAAGATGTAAAACTTCTATTTGTCTTTCATCAAAAAAGATTTGTTTTCATCAACTTAAATAATTTTGTAACTTCGAATTGCAAATATTGTTCTATGTAGATATCAAAACGAATAAAACGAATGTTCGAAGCTGAAAATGAGTTTTATTAAATTAGTTACAAAGATTTCTGCTGCTAACCTAACGTTATTAATTTTAAAGAGTCAACCATATAAATAGCAATGATTTTCGTATCAGACTCATTTATGATGTTTATCAACACATCTTATTCGTGACTGCTTCAAGCTACTTTCCCTTTCAAACTTCTCAAATGAAACAACTTTAGCAATTGACAGAAGAAAGTTAATTTGTTCGCTTTTTAAATTAATTTTTAATATTAATTTGAATCTTGATAACTAAAGTTTGCTTTACTTCGCTTTCCTCGTGTTTACACAATTAAACATATATCTTAACGAAAGCGTATTTCTTACGTGCAATGTTGGATAGATGATGAAATATTTATGCCGAAATAATAATTAGTTTAAATAGAAATATTAATATTCGCACATGAACGTTTAAATCAACAAGTTGTGCAGAGTAAAAAAGGGGAAATATGGAAATTAATTTTGAATAGGAAACTTTATCTAGCTACAAACTTTTATCAACAGTTACTTAAAATATCTTATTTTATAAACGATTCACATTTGCCTTCTTAACTTTCATTCGCTTGCTTTTATGCTTCCGACTGATAACAAAAATATTTTCAATATTCTTAATTCACATTTAACAATTTCTTCAACAAAAAGATTTCGTTATTCATTTATGCTGATGAGCTTTTCTCCATTTTAAGAGTTAATCTCGAATAAAAAAATACATAAACATAAAATTGCGCAAATAGAGAGAAAAAATCTCAACAAAAGCTTTCTGTTTGCCTACCACGATGTTCTAATTTATTTGACACAAAATTAATTGGATTTTTGTGTTTCTTCTTCGTTTCATTTCGATTCCGAGACATTGATATTAATTTCTGATTTTGTTGCGATGGGTTTCGTGTAAATATTTCAGTTTGTGGCTTCTTCGGTTTTCTTAAAACTTTTCCCTCGTATGTTGTTTTATTTCTTTAAGACAACGACGATAATTTCTTTCTGCTGTTTAAAGCCCCATGTGAGATTCCCTCTCTCATCCACATCCATTTATTGGATTTAACATAAGACTGCGATTGTCTGCATTACATATCATTCTCCCTCAGCCCCTTGTTCCATCACAAACCAATTATTCACGGAAGAAAGTCAGTGAGACAGAGAGAGAGAGAGAGAGAGAGAGAGAGAGAGAGAGAGAGAGAGAAATGTAAATATTCTTCTATTTTCAAATTTATTGCTTCATTTTGTAAGAAGCGTTTTACGGTTTTAGTGGTGCAGTTAAAGATGATCAAGGAAATTTACTTTGGCATCACAAACTCTCAAGATTTTCCAATTAATCTCTTCCTGTTTCCACTCTTCCTTTTTATCTTGATGTATCTGAATGATTCAAATCATCTCAAAGATGTCAATTTTTACAAATTATTTTATAAAACATTTTTTTTAAATTTATAACTTTCGTTAGACATAAAAAGATAAAAGTGAAAAGAAAATTTCGCACAATAAACACAAAGATTCGTTTAAAAATTTCATGAATTGATTTTGTCGGCTTTTCCAAGGGCTTTTCAAGATTGCAATGATGTTTTTGAGATATCAAATTCCCCTTTGCAAAAATCTATACAGCGTGAGAAGAGCGTTCATTTGAAAGTAATACTGCGATTTTATTTTATCATGTAATTCTTTTGTGCGAAAATAAAATCATGGGGTGTGATGTTTAATGTCAAATGATTTTCTTTTGCACCTCTAATGAAATTTTTTCATGTTTCTTGTTGGTATCAAACGATAATAGAATTTTCTTTTGCGGAAATTTGCTATAATTAGGGGAAAGGGAAGGCAAGGCAGGAAGAAATTGCATGAGAAGAATAATAAGGGTTGACAAATGTGTTGGAATTCTGTTGCGAATTTCTTTCGATTTAAAGAATTCGGCAACACTTTCGTGTTGTTAAATAAAAAATGAGCAGTGAAATATCAATCTGAGAGTGAATGCTATGTGATCACTTTCAGGTTGAAGGAAATGAAATCGACACGATGTTATTGGCATTAACATAATGTGTAGGAGGGAAAATGTTTGAAAAACCGCAAATTACACATGAGGAAACATAAATAAGATACATGGATAGATAGATATGTTTCACAAACTCGATTCCGCTTTTAAACTTTTTGGGAATTTGATTCTTCTTTTGATTTCTATCTCGTTCACTTCAAGATGTGACTTTGATGCTTGAGAAAGGAGAAACAACAATGATGGATTGTTTCTTTGATATCCTAGATTTCGAGCACACATTTCACTTCGGAAAGTGGAATGCCTTGAACGTGATTCGAAAGCGAGATTCATCTCTCAACAGCAAGGACAAGATTCACTATTTTAAATTTTCATTTAATGATATCCATTTGCGGCGTGAGCTCCATGATGATAAATGTATCGTATGAGTCGTCAAATCAAGATAAAAAAAAGCAAAAGCAAACAATAAATTATAATCGATTGTTGCACGTAACATTTAAATCAAAATAACTTCCATTTCACAATATGTCGTGTTGATAAATCAATTCACTTAATGATTACTTTTTTTTAACAATTGGATTTACTAAACCTGTTAAATATTTGCATTTGAAATATTTAAGAACAATTTTCGAGGGAGAAAAGATGTCAATCAAGTGATAAGCTCACGCAAATAATAAATGATGTGGTTTTAAGCCACGTATGCCTTTAGCTCAGAACAACATAAATTATTTTAGAGTTTAATCGATTGACATGGAAATTGTAGAATTGTCATCAGTCGATTGAAATCTCTGTGACAATTTTCTACGACAAAATCAATAAAATTGAAATATTTGAGTGAAAAGAGTTTAATGAAAAATATTTCCATCATATTATCCACTCAGCATAAATGTTAGTTTAATCATAAATAAATAGGAGCAATAAAGATAAATAGATATCCATGTACATTCTTAAGTAATATTCGGAAAATATTTTATTCATGAAGAAATGATAATCAGAAATATTCAAATCGACATGAGCAAGCAATTTTTGTGATGGAAAATTTTTCAATATTTTTAATAATCTGTGATGTAACTGGGACAATAAAAAAATATAAAACAAGAAAAAGAATGACAAATATTCACAGTTATATGGCAAATCATAAAAAATCGCAAAATGATAAAACGACGCTTCCGTTTATTGTCTTACAGACCGAAAAGTATTTGTGGCATTTTACATATAAATTCAATATTTTTCTGTTATTGTTGATGTCATTTAAGAAAGAGATGTATTGAGTGGATTTATTTATTCATGGACTGCTTTAGACGTTCATCCTCTGACTGCGAAACTTTTCAATGCATGAAGTTTAAGAATGATAATAAATATTTCTTCCATATCCATTTAGAGATAAATATACGACTTTTAGATGCATAGATTTGCTGTCTCATCCTCCCTTGAATCAAATAAAAAAATAAAGAATTTTAAAGCCAAGGAGAAACGTAGGAATGAAGGAAGTTATGCAAAGTGCACCATGGGATATTTGTGAGGAAAGATATGAGTAATAGAAGAAGGCATAGCTCGAGGAAAGACATCATAAAAAAGATTTCTACATTGTTTCTTTATGTAAAACGACATTTCTAAGGAGAAAGACTTAACTTACTCTTCTGGATAGTCGCATTTCTGTGTTCAATTCTAAGGAAATCGCCAATTTCCTGATTCATATCAAAATAAATTGACAAACAGCAGATCGCTTTAATCTGAAACTCTCAAGGGACTCATAACATTATAAATGAGTCCGAAATCCCTCTAGGTTTATCGAATATGTTGCGTTAAATTCTCCATATATAGCGAGTTTGTGAATCTTTAATTTACCAATTAAACAATTTAATATAAATCAAGTCAAAATAATCATTTTCCGAAATTTAATTATTAATCTGAGCTTTCAGATGCACACCCAGTCAAACAACCCTTTTCCGATGTCGAAATCTATCTGTTACAATATTTATTGCGCAATGTTTCACACTTCAGACTCAATTTCAGATCGAATATGATGACGACTTTGCAACGACTCGAGTTGTTTTGATGGTAAATGTTGCAATATCGCGACACGACGAATGATGAAGTTCAAATTTAAAATTCAATTTTTATGTTCATGCTTTTCGGAATCCCATTTATTTAACTTCGTGTCATGTCATGCATTGCATGCACATTTCGTTTGTTGATTTTACGCAACATAGCGACAGTTTTTAACTGTCGCAACAGCAAGCCAAGGCAGAGACAATAAAAACAATATAAAGGGTTAACATGAAAATTATTCACACCGATTCATAAATTATTGGAATTTTTCATTTCACGCATTTTATCACAGACAAAGACGTGATGAAAATTGTTTTCCGAACATTGAGGTTTTTCCTTCCCTTTTCGAAGAATATTTCCACTATTAATAGTTATTTCGATCTATTTATTTATGTATTTACTTTAATTAAACTTTATTATCTTAATACTCTTACTTTGTGAACATATCCTTAACAACACTTTTGTTGTTTACTTGTTGTGCAAACTTTGAATCTTTTTCTTCTCTTCAGAAATTTATAATCTTAATTCCATTCCAATTAATTGAACCGCTTTCAAGGCAAACGAAGGCGAAAATAAATTTTAGTTTTGTGTATGTTTGATATTAGAAACATTCTCATGGTGAAAGAAAATCCTTAAGCAAGCATAGGATGAAGTTTAGCGCACAATCTCAGCAATTGGGAAACTGTAGGTTACCATTATTTTCAGGAAATTCACTACTTTGCCTTCACAATACTTTTAGTTGAATGGAAATCTAATCTATTTATGCGGAAGGGAAAAGTTTTGTTCTTATTCGAGTTCATCTATCTATAGAAGCGTCATACATATTATCTGTCTTCTGGCAAAAAAGGAAAATGAATGAAACTTCTAATTACTAAACAAAAGAAAAGTTTCAAGTTATAAATGCACTGAACTTGAAACTAAAGACTTCCTTTCTCTGATTCTATTCTCCCCTTTAAATGTAAAACAATTTAAGATTCAAATTGAATTTAATTCACTCACTCCATGAAGTAAACAACAAATTTGTATCAAGAAATTTATTGACTTTCATGAATCAAAAGAAAATCCTTTCTGCATAATTTTCCGAAGCTTGGTCATTTTATTGTCAGATTTAGACGAGGATACGGAGGCCAATCAATTGAATAAATTGTTTGATTTAATAAATTTCCTTGTAGTCTTTATGTCAAGCATTTTCTTTTTCCAAGTATCAAGGAAAATAAAAAATTGTGATCCTTGAAAAATGTTCTCGAGGGTGAATTTGTAATGAGAATATTTTTCTTTTCCTTTTTATTTGTGCTATGAATAAAGCGGCTATCTCTTTATATAAATATATATTTGAATATTTTCTTTTTATTGAAAAAAAGTACATTTCGGGAAGTATTGAAAATCTTTCGAGTACTTTTTGAAGAAGGTTAGAAGACAGCGTCAAGGAAAGTATCAAGTTGAAAATAATGAAAGGAAATTTATTAGAGGATTTTGGAGAGAAAATAAATTGACAAGTCCAACGACATAACATCATTCTTGATGATGTTTATTTAGATTTAATTTTATTGCTTATGTTTTGAAGGTTTGTGCTTTGAAGATTTTCCTTCTTTTCTTTTTAAGATTTAATAAAAATTTTCTTAAATTTCCAATTTCAATCATGAAAAGTTGAAATTATCGATTAAAGTGAAATTTGATCACAAGAAGTTTAATCTTACTTTGCACTTATGTATCTTTTCCGTATAAATTCCAGCATTTAAAAATTATTCACAGCACAGGTAAAAAGCGTTAGGACAGTAAATAAATTTCAATTAATTACCAGTTTTAATTGGAAAATGTCATAAATTTAATTTTCGAGAAAATATTAAAATATTAAATATTAAATCACATCTTGGTGTTTCTCGTAGCGCAATTTGATTTTTTTTTATTTTGTTTCAACCTCTCCACTGCTGCTACTGCTTTATCATCTCAACAATGGGAGCCACTTCATTTACATGACCTAAGCAACCGACAATAATTCACAATTTACATTTCTTCTACCAGCTAGTCGTGAAAAGTTTTAATTATCTTAAGCCTTAGACGCGAGATCTTCGTAATTCTTTTCATGTTTGCTGGGACTCCGCACATTTCCCATAAAATGGCAACTCACTTAATTGTAGTTTATGTTTAATTCTCCCTGGATATTACATTTTTTTAAAAATGAAAATAATAATGAAAACGCTTTCCTCTCTTCAGACTCTTCTGATAACAATAACAACAAAGATTTGTCTTCTCATTTTGACATTCCGCAGTTCTTTTGCATTCACGAAACGACAAATATATGTTGTAGCATTCAAGGAAACATTCTGGAGAGCCTCTGTGAATAATTATGATGCATGAGGCTAAATATTTATGTGTGATTGTGAGGAATAAACTAATGTGATAACAGAGAGATGTGAAAGAATTAATAGAAAGTGTCACTGGAAATTTCCCAGGCAGTAACATCAACTAAAAGACAAAAGTTTTCAATTATTTCTCACCCAACCTCAGCTACGTAAATACTTTTGTACATATTGTAATTAAAAATTCATGGAATGTTGAAGAATCCTGTTTTTTCTGCTAAAAAAATATGCAACATTCTGTAAAAAAATGAAATCCGCATGAGAATTCATCGCTGGATGTTTCAGATAATAGAAAAATTATTAGCCCTTTGAAACCAGAACAACGAGAAATCTTTTATTACACGACACAAGCTAATGAGTTTTGTGAGTTCTTAAAGATTGCGAGCTAAGATAAGAACTTAAGCTACAGTTGCAACTGTCGGATTGTGATGATTCATTTGAAGAATTTGTCCATTATTACGATGCTTTTTGTTATGAAATATTTTACAAATACACATCAACCATCCACAACAACACGATAAAACAATCACTACGAATCCAGTGACGATGTAACTGACAACCTTTCCAAACTTTTCCAGCGATCGAAGACATTCTTCTCCAGTGTAAGTTTTGTTATAGATTTGACATGTAATTTCAAAATTTGTTGTTTTATTCTTTCCATCGTCGTCTACTTGATTGTTGTCTTGTCCATTAACACTTCTCAAAGAAATTATGAGAATAAGAAGAAATCTGGAAAGTTTTCAATTTAAACATTTAATTTTGTTTATAAACTTCGCGTTTTAATTTATTACACCTAAGAATGATTCTCATTGAAACTTATCGCAACTCTACTTTTGATGAAATTCAATTGCAGACTGAAAATAAATTATTGATTTTCCTTTGTCTATGACGTGTGGTAATGACTGCACTTTCATTCTTTGCTTAGCGTTAGCTTTCGTGCCTGCAACACATAAAAATTGAGTTCGACACCGATCATTTATGTTGTTGCAATAATCGTCAAGTCGACATGCACTTCAATAACCTTCAGCGTTATTGTTCAATTATTTATTCATGTGTCGATTGTCGTTGAAATCCTTGTCCTCGTCTTGACAAAGCTAGACGTCGCAAATAGAAAGGGAATAAATAGAAATAAAATGTAAACAGAAGAATGAATGCTTCTAAGTTAAAGTTTTCAAGAGTCTATTAACAAAGTCTTTTGACAAGGGTTTCGGTCTTTCATAAAACATTTAAATGAAATCGAAAATATTTTCTTCACAATGGTCAAGATTGAAAACTGACCACATAAGACAAACAAGTAAATGAAATAACTTTTCTCTCAGTCTTTTCTTATTCGATTGCTCACTCGAGTGTTTCGACAATTGTGGTTGAAGAAAAGTGGAGAGAAAAGTTTGAAAGGGTTGAAAACTTTAATGGAAAAACAATAGGAAACTTGTGATCATTTTACAATTTAAATTATATTAAATAGTTTGAATGTCTAATATCTAATCTAAGGTTTAAAGAAGCAGGAAAATTGTGGGTAGTGGAAAGTTAAGGAGCAACACTTTTGAGTGGACTTTAACTTGTCTTCTCCCAACTATTGTTCCTTACAAGAAAACTCTTGAATTAAATATTGATAAATTTTAATCTGATTTTGTAAGAAACACTTTCAAGTGTTATTGTAAGAAATACTTTAGTCGGAAGTTGAGTCGGCAAGTGTTAACCTAATTTGAATAATCTTTAGCCACTCAATTTGACAAAAACCAGTTCTCAATATTTATTACGGTTTCCCAGTAATTTGTGTTATGTTTGTTCCTAACCCACTCAAACTTACTCCGAAGAATTTCAACTTTTTTCCTTGAAACATCTTTGACTTCGACTTTGAACTGACTTGCTGATTAAGTTATTTTTAGCTACATTAATGTCGTCTCGTTATTGCATGACTTAATGCAATCGAAGATCAGAAGAGAAAAATAAAAACATTAATGAAAGTTCTTAAAACGTGTAGATTTAATTGGTTGCTTGCATTTTAATCGTTTTATAAATAAACATGTTATTGCCAAAAATAAATTTCACTCGCATCACTTCTGAGCTCCAGGATTTCATTTTTAAAATCTCAGAGGTGGAATTTGGAGCTATCAGCCAATCAAGTCAACGAATCTTTCACATTTCACTAATTTGAAAGCACTTCAACACTGAACTTCTTTTTATTAATGATTACACCAATTAACATATATCTAACATTTTATTTACCCTTGAAGATATGAAAAGGACTTTGTTGCGATCTTTTACCGTCAATAGAATTAATTTGACATTTTTCAAAACATTTTTTTTTTGCAAAGCGTGAATTAGCAATTTTGTTCACGCGCAAACTGATCCGGGAACTCTTCAGGAATTCTTCACTTTGTCTCAAAAAAAAAAAAAAAACAATAATCAAATGTTGTTTCGTATAAATTTTGCAAAAATAATATTTTCTGCTTTTTTTTACTTTATAGGATCTCTTGCTGGCCGATATTTCTTTTCTGGTGATAAAATCATTTTATTGAAAGGCGCCACTGAGTCACTTGACGTAGATATTCAAGTTAATCTCTTCCTTTTGATTTGTTTCTTCTTATAAATCAAAGACGAAAACACAAATGAATAAATAAAATCAATAACAATTGTTGTGATCTCTTTGGTTTATCACATTCAACTGACCCAGTCATCAGCTTTGAGTGACCGCCTGCTCAAGACGACTTAACGGATTATATGGCCAGAAATATAATGAAACGTTGAAGTGTGGTTATCAGTAAAGAAAAACAACTTCTTAACTTTTTTTTTCGCTAATGCTTGTTGTGGCCCCAAAAATATCAACAAAGTTCCGGCTTTGACGTCTGCTCCATTATAAAATACCATTCTTGAATTTCTCACTCCACAAAAATGTAAATATAAAAGATATTTTTAAAATTCCTCTTATTATGCATATCAAATGTCCAATGTCCATATAAACAACAAATTCTTATCTGTTTCTAATTTTAAAACTCGCCGGAATTCTTAAAGACGTGTTTTGATTTCGGGACTGAAATTTTCATTCTGCAAGATTAGTCCACTAATACCTCCTACCAATATCCTCTTAATGAATTCTTTTCTTCGTTTGCAATACAGCAAAAACACGTGTAACGTGAAACTTTTTGCACACAGAAAAAGATTTCTGTTTTGATTTTCGCAAAAGCTCTAAGTAAATTAATTTAAAAATTAATCAACAATAAAAAACTATGAATTTGTATTCAAACAACATTAACATTTCTTTTGACAACTAAGCATCGATGACTGATAGATTCTAAAATGAAAAATGTATCACAACGAGAAGATTATTAAAGATGTGAATTTTTTGAAGATTAACACTTTATGGATTGCAAAAAAAAAATAACAACAAACTTTACGACGGTCGTTTTTCATCGCCTTGTTGCCGCAATATTTTTGATGCCAGCAGTTCCTGTTGCTTAAGCAAAGATTATATAAACATTTGATCTCCAGTCTTTTTAAAGATCATCATTGAAAGAAATTCTCTTGTTGTTCTCGCGTCATCATGTTGTTTTGTTGTTATGTGACGCCGACACACAGCTTATTAGTTTTGTTTACATTTTAACATCAAGATCAAGCTTCGCAGAGGGTCTCTTCGGAACGTTAATCCCCATCAAGACTCGTTGATGAAAGAATTCCTGAAAATAATTTTTAACAAGTTTCCTGCAAGTATTTATGAAAATCGAGCAGGTTTATTTTCAAAAGAAAAATCTATTTATAAACTCTTCGAAGTTTTCTTGATTTGGCAAAATTCTTCTTCTATTTGATTTTGCATAATTTGCTGTTCGTGCGGGCATTACTGGCGCCATAAGTATTAATTCAACAATTCGAGACGAGTCAATCCCAAAATTTGAGAAGATCCTGGTCTGTAGACAGCAATCTTCTTCCCTTTTTATTTTCCGCAAAGTGTTGGCTAAGTACTCGATAACTGATGTTACATCCTTAATTGAATACACGCAATATCACCTGATAATTGAATGCATGATCTCGTGTAATCTTTGTAATAAAACTTAAGAACTTAATGCAGCATTTTAAAACAGCAATTTATGTATTTTTTTTATCAATACCTACGAAAGAGTTAGCGGCTTTTGTAAAGCAATAAAAGAAATAACTGTTACTGCTTTTAACAATTAATTTAATCGAAAGATTAACTTTGTTTTAAACGAACTTTCGTCCTTTCCATTCGACTTTCTAAATTCATAATGAATTTTCATTTATCTTTCTAAATAATTTTTCAAAATTTCTATTAGAAATCAAAGAATGTCAAAACACTTTTCAATCCACGATTCCATCAAAGCTACTTAAGGTCAATGAATGGCGCCTGCCATAAAATTTAAATGAGCTGCATTTATTAATCAACATAAGACGACGTTTAAATTGTTTTGATTTGTAAATATTGTTTTTTAAATCCTTGAGGATTTCCCACCAAATTACGTTTCGATGACAATGGAAGTGCAAGGATCGACACGAATAAATTTCCTTGTCATAAGAGAAATCAAATTTCTGCACGCTGATATAACATGAAGGTCAAGGTTAAGTTGTTATTGAAACTGATCTTGAAAATGGATTTAAACAGCCAAAAACAAATTCTTTCAACGACGCAAAATTTTGACCTGTAAACAAAATTAAAATATCTCAAGAATCCCATTTTTCATCGTGAAATAGTAAACAGAAATTCTTTTTTTAAAAAAGAAACTAATAAGCTAATTTTTTTCATATGGAATGCTTGTGGAACGCCATAAAAAGTTCTTCAGCTTGATGGCGCTCAACAAGAAATTCTTTAGTAAAAACAAAAAACTGATGTCATATTTCTGAATCATTGGCGGTAGAATTTGAATAAAGTTAAGCGCAATGTGGACCACTCCGGTGTGATGACGTCTTCTGCATATCATTAAACTATTTTTAGAGCTGGCAAAATCTCCAATCACTTGATAACGAATTCTTTTTTCTTCTGTTTAATTCCGGTTCCATCGTGTTTCAACAGTTCGTCTTCTTCGCTCAATCTCTTCTTTTTCATACTCAGATCTGACTACCAGCTCGAACGAAAACTTGTTTAATGAAGAAAAATATCAAGAAACTCTCAGATAAAGACTCCAGAAATTTCTCTTACTTCTGATTTTAGAGCTTTTTTTGGTTGTTTACTGTTTTGTTGTCTTTTTTTTCTCATCGTTAAATCCTCGCGCGCAAGTTGTGCAAGATCGGAACAATAATATAAAAGCGATGCGAAGCGCGAGTATTTCGAACAGTTTTTGATAATTCGTTGAATGCGATAGATCGCCTAAAAAGTGTTAAGAAAGAAGACTTTTGAAAGTTAAAATTACGTAAAGAATTCAAAGTTGAAAATTCGAAAAATTTAAAAGATAGAAATAAAAAGAAAAAAATATTCAAAATGCAAATGAAAGTTTTTGTAACCCTTGCCGTAAGTGTGAACATTGCTCTTAATCATTACTTATTGTGATTACTAATTTCATTTGATATCATTAGATTCTTGCATTCGTGAAGTTCTCATCAGCACAAAGCGATGCGAAGATAAGCCTTTTAGATCGTAAATTCAGAACACGCGTTTCACTTCAGGACACTGCTTTCACATTCGGCCATGAAATAGACGGCGTTGAATTGGGATGCTACGGCTACATTAAGGATGGTCGTCCTTTCAAAATGTATTACGTTTTCGATGAAAAAGATTATCGTTTCATCACAACAACGATGCGATTCCAAGTTCACCCACCAAGTGGCAAGAAACGGTAAGTTCAATCTCGACGATCATTTATATTCAAAACTGTGATTATCAAATTATAAATTTCAACAGATTCGCTATTCTTACTCCTCGTGGCCGTCAAGATAAGGAGAAGACCACATCTGATGTGCTTCGATATCCCGAAGAGTGTCTGTAAATTCATTCGTATCATTCAAAGACGCACTGAAACACCTCATAAGAATCCACTTTTTTCCCCCACTCATTCATCGTGATATTTTTAAATTTTCTTAATCGATATTCTTGCCGAAATCGAAGCATAAGCGAAACATTTGATCCCACTTATAGATATTTGGCAAGAATTTTAAGCAAGCAATCAATTTAGCAGTTAAGATATTTGCAGAATGCAATGAAAGGTATTTTTCATAAAAAGAAAAGATTAATAATTGGAGAAATGATATTTAGTTGCTTAAGACATGTATCTATTAGATGTTGATAAATATATTTATTTTACAATTGAACAATTAAACTTTTCTTGTTTCATTTCTATTCAGTCTTAAATATCATCAACTTAAGATTAAATAAACAACAAATGTCATCATTGCCATGTCATTAAAATATAATAATCAGCATTTTGCAAATATATTTAATAAGCTTGAAGCGACAGAGCGGAGATTAAAATATTAATCGTTGAAGAAATGACGCTCAATAAGAAATCACAGAGAAAAATTGTAATTGAAAATGTTTCGAGCAGCAAAAAAAAAGGAAAATTCTACAAAAGCAAATTTCCTGTCACTTTGAATTTCATCTAGTGATGATTTTGTTTTACTTCTTCTCTCAAACGCATTAGATACTTCTTCTGTTTTTGCTGAGGGTGGGTGACGATGGACATTTGGTAAATGGAATTGAGATTTTCGCTCCTCGAAATATGTTCATTTGATATCTTTGTTTTTCACTCGCAATTGTGTTTCTTCGTGTTAAGTGCTCGTGGGGAGAAAACAACAAGTTATAATTCTATTGGCATCCTTGTTGCTGTTGCCTCTGCCGTGGCGTGTTTACGTTAAGTGAGCATAAATTATGCGGTTCGAGGATGAAGAAAAAAGAAATCACGATAAAGAAAAATGAGTTTCTTCTCCGCCCAAACATCGCCAACCCAGGCAACCGTTTTTTTCCCTTTCAATATATTTTCGGGCAAAGAAAGATGAAAATAAATTAATAAAATATTTCTTCCTCTGGTTTGGTTGCAAAAAAAGAGAAGCAAAAAATTGCTTTTCCTTTCTTTGCCCCCGTAAGCGCGTATCCTGTGTCATCGTGAATAATTAATTTGCTTCTCTGCAATTTTCTTTCTTTTTTCTCTGTTTCGATGAAAGATGAATTTCATTCGCTCGGTTTTCCGTTTTTTCTTCTTCGAGAGTTTTGAGTCCAAAGAGAGTTTACTTATTTCCATTAAAGAATTTATGGCCACCAGCTAATTATGTCTACAGAATCAGGACGAACATACAACGTTTTACACTCGATATCCCAGTTGGAAGTTTTCAAGATAATTTTCAGCTTTCAACTCTTCTTATAAACGATTGTGGATGTTTTGGGAAACTTTGATTGGGAATGTTTACCATTCATAAACCAAAAAATAAAATAATAAAACTTCACCTCAGGATTTCTTTTTGTCACCGACAAGAAATGAATTTTTTTTCTTCACCTCGATGGAAAAAAAACGTAGAATGAAAGTTTAAAATCCGCCCACGAATATCGATAGAACTAATTAAATATTAAGATTCATAACTTTGTGAATTATTTATTATCAAAGTCCATGATAAAGGGAACCTCTAGGAATGAACGATTGAAGGAGATGAAGTAAAGTCAAGATACCGATGAAAAAATATTTAAAAATCCCTGAAGATCCTTTTGTACTTACTCGTGCTGATGTAGAATGAAAGACAAGAAAATTCTCGTCCTTTTTAAAAAATGAAAAGAAAGAAAATGGGAAAATTATCAATTAAAATTTTATGACATCAGAAAATGATATTTGTTTATTTACGAAAGCACAGGAGAAAGATGAAGTAATTTTTACGGTTGCCAGATTACATTATGAAGATTATCGTTGTGTCTTTGTTGATGGACAAGTACGATTTATGAAAAAATAATCAGACAACCCACTTGCAAGCAAGTCTTTTAAGATTGTTGTTCTTGGTGTCCGGGGCCGCAGTCTTTATGGTATGAAAATTAATTGCAAAAGGTTGTTTCATGGCCAGATGAAAATCAACATAGGGACAATACCAACAAATGGATCCGCGAGCATTGCTCTCGGGGATGGATAATGGAAAACTGTAGAAAAGCATGAAATTGATAAAAGATTTCCATCATCGCGAGAATCAGTGAAAAGCATAAAAACATGAAATTTCGTTTGCATCGTAAATGGAACTGATAAACTTTTTTTGTCTTTGTATTTGAATTAATTTTAATGGAGAATTTATAATGAACGGAATGCAGATGAAAGATGAGCTGGCAGTGTATCTTGATCGAAGTTTTTTTATTTTTAATAAAATTAAGAATGGCTGATGACAGTCACACAAGGAACAGAAGAGATTTCTATTTAATTACAGTAGAATCAGTTGCGAGGAGATCTGTAAAAGCAGTTGAAAGGTCAAGAACTTATCTACATTTGGATTCCTTCGACTACAGATATATTTCCAAAAGAGTTCAGTTCCTGCATAAAAACCCAATTAATCATTCACGGTGAAAATCGGATCAACAACAAAGGAAAAGGAATAAGATGAAAATGCTTTATGACAGCGCCCTTTGAAAGTGAAATGAAATATTTGTGAATACAATTCACGTGTGTAGTTCTTTTCCTCCTACCACGCCATCGGTTTACGTGTCTGTTACAGAATATGTCTTTATATCTCTCGTTCTCATAAGAAGAAAAAAAAGGCACTTCGTTTGTTTTTTGACAGGATTTTGAAGGCAAGCGAATAATATTTATTTTTATCATGTGTGTTCGTTCGTATTCCTTATTTTCTTCCTTCTCTACAACTCGCGCGCGGAAAGAACAGCTCTGGGCATGATTTATTGCCGAAAATAGATTTGCGCAAAAGAACGAGACTGAATGGAAATTCTTAAGTAAGGCTGATGGGTTATTTATTGTCTGCCATACTAGATTGGAATAGCTCTTGAATACGTTGCTGGTTAAAGAGTGAAAAGATGCAAGTGGAAAGGATTTTTCACGATATATTTGTACACGCTACCATAGAACTTCAAAACACAACACTGAAGATGTGAAGTTTAAAAAAAGAATAATTGCATACATCGTTTAGAATTTGAAAGGGTAGAAGATGAAATTACTTAAATATAAACAAGAAGAAGGAGATCTTCGAGATGTTTCGAGAGATAAATTTGCGTTGTGAATGTGAATTGTGGGTTCATTTTTGTAAATCACAAATCTATGATTTATTTCTCTTTTACATGTCTTTATGAGTATTATAGTAATATTTTATGTGTACGAGTGCGAAGCATTTATTGTGTTTATTGTTACTCTTGCGCCTTCAACAATGTGATTGTCGGTTTAAGAAATCCTTTCTTGCAATACAAATTTTAAATTTATGGATATTTGAGGATCTTCCTTCGATGAAAACTGTCGAAATGTTTGGATTTATCCTAAAGTCTTGCAAGAAATATTTATTTTCTTTTCAAATTGAAAGGGTAAGGTTGATAAATGTTGAAAGGGAAATTTGATGTTAATGTTCGAAGTCAATGAATAATGTGCGAACTTTAACATTCAGTTTCTAAAATTGAACCTTAATTTCACTAACAAGAGTAGCAGATCCAAAGTTTTGATTTCTTAGTGTATCGCTCGACTTGTATAAAGTTTACGAATCCAACGAGAAGTAATTTCATGTTCCTAGATCGTAAAATTTGATGGCAACACATATGAAAACCTTCAACGCTAATAATTTCTTCTTAATGCTATTGAATTTGCTTTTCTTCCAGAGCTTATGCAATCTTCTTCTCATTCCCTCAAACACCACTGAGAGTCTTAATATCTCCAAGACAATCTTCTAGTCGAATAATAGCATAGAAAGAAAGTCGATAGAATTAAATGAAAAACTATTAAGTGCATTTTATTTTATGATCCTTCCCTTAGATTGCCAATAATCTTCTCTCGCTACACTTGCTATTAAACATCAAAATCAGTAGACTATAGAAAGGCGGAAACATGTTACGCAAACGTTGATATTTCTTTATTGATTCTAGGTTGTAACATGCAAAGAATGAAATGTTATTACATCGTCTTGAATGACCACACACAGTAATCTGACAATCCTTCGATTCACGAGAAAATTAATGAAAAAAAAAGAAGAAAAACCGATTTTTATTAGTCTTTGTAACGATTTTCTTCATTCCTCATGTTAATGAAATTTCTTGTTCCAAAGCAAAGCAGATATCGTACAAAGATCGACTTGTAATGTGGGAGACGAGAAAAACGATACAATTTTATTGGTCTTTCGACAAATTCGCAAGTCAGAGACATTGCGAAATGAAGAAAATGAAGAAGACAATTATGCATCACGTTTATCAGATTGAAGGGATAACTATCGAAGGAAAAAAAGACAATCATCATCAAATAAACATCCTGAGACAAATAAAAGAAACATGTGTAGACGGTTAACATGACCGCAACTATTAAAGATGTAATGAAGGAAAGGTAACATGTGCTTGAGTAATATAAGCATTTTATGATGTTTAATTGCAGTTAGATTCCACTAGGAATCAATAATAAAAATGATTCAGCAAGACTGCAGTAGAACTTCTGTTCTGCTTCCACATCATTAATTTAAAACTTGTAAACTCGTAAGTATCATTAATGACGTTAAACAGTTTTTTCCAACGAAATTTGTCATTAAAAATCTATTTACAAATGTTATCTTTCTTTATGATTTCAATAGCATTTATTCATAATATGAATGCTGGAAAAATCAAGCGACAGATTTTTTACGAAAACATTTATTGCCACAAATTGTATTGTGAATTTTCTTCTTTTCCATTCTTCTCGATGATTTCATTTATTTACAATGCGGTGTGGTAGATTTTGTGAGGAAAGATGAAAATAAGAAACGAGAAAAGTATATTTCAATAACAATAAATGTAAATGGTGAAGGAGATGGAAAACTTTTCTTATTTTTTTTTTATTTTTCTCTAAAGAAACGCTTGTAGACATAAATATTTAATATCATTTTTCATGTTATTTAAAAAAAGTGTATGGGATAATTTGAAGTGGATGGAAAATGTCTATGAATACAAAACGTAAGGCAAAATGTAATATTAATCAGATTACTGCAAAGAGTAATGATTCAGAAAGAAAGCTGAAATGATGAAGGAATGAATACTGTTGTTGAGTGCGTTCGACAAAGGGATAATTTCGGAAGTTAAAAGGAAGAAAAATGACTGGTTTATTGAAAAATAATTTAATTTTCTAATTCAATGATGCTTAAGCAGATTTTTCTTTTGTTGAAGAATAAAAAATGTTCACTTTGACTCTGAAATTCTCTTCTTGTGCGTTTCTACTTGTTACATGATCTGATAAGGAAAGTGATTACTTACTCGTGCTTGTTTAGAAACGACAAGATGTGGAAAAATATTTAAATGGTTGGTTGACAAGAGTTATCAAAGAATTTGGATGATGATGTTTTGTTGTTTTTCTTTTGTGTCGTTTTATCAAGAGGAAAGCGAACGTATTTTACCTTCAAACGATTTAGCATATTTGTACATTAAATATAACTTGAATAAATGTTTTTAGAAGGCAATTTTTGTCAAGATTTTTAATTCATTCATTGGCTTTCTCTCTCTCTAACATGGTAAGGAATTTCAATTTCCTACGGAAATCATGCCTTGACATCAACATATTGCACATTGTTAAAAAACCATCAACATTAGCATTAGCCTTGTTCAGCATAGCAATGTATCTTTTCTTCCTTATTCTCTTTTTTACATCTTTATTGTGGGCTGTTGATTGTTGAGGTTGAATGGGCAATTGAACAAGTTCACATCAGAGGATATTGGAAAATTGTATTTTTATTTATGACTTCTCCATCTCTTCTGCAGTTTCCCTCTTTTCTTTGCATTACACAGTAGGGGTGTATTTAAGGTTTTCCCACTTTTCTATTCAACATTTTTTTCCTTACACATTCGGTCAAAAGTTGAGTAAAAGAAATTTTTCTTTTGGCCACCCTTGAATAAATTTCTGCAACGATATATGAGATTATGAGAAGAATATTATTGTAACCTTTGAAGGGATCACAATTAGGTAAAATTAATTTAATTTTCAAACATTTTTATGAATAAAAAATTGCATAAAAAGAATGAAAGATTTCTAATTCCGTCAATAAGAATTCGATTAAGGAAAAAAAAGTTTTTCTTCATCTTATAAAGTTAAAGCGAATTTGCCAGCAGCAATTTTCCTCCTTAATTGGAAATTTTGTATCATTTACTGTTTACAGTCAACATAAAAGGGGTAAAACGTTTTCGACATCCTGCAAACAATGACATTTTTTTCTCGATCATGTCAATGGGCGGAAATAATTGTAAAAAAGGAGAATTTATTATCAAGACTTTTTATGTTTATTTCTGTTCTTCCTAACCAAACGACCTCCGTATCTCCTAAGAGAAAAAAATAATCAAATTTATTGCGATTCTTTCACGCGCTACGGGCTTGCTCAAGGAAAACGTTCTAAAGAGTTTATCACGTCATACAACAAAAAATGAGGGAGAATGAACATTTGCTCAACAACAATTATCTCTAATCAATCGCAATCTCCCACTGCATTCTTCTTGTTTTGCACATTTCACGGTTTCCACCCAAACCATTTGAAAATAAAAATTGAGAAAAAAAGAGAAAGCATTGAAAAGGGTTAAGGTTAAAAAGGACTAAAACGAAGAAAGTCCTTTTTAAGAGATGAGAAGGGTGTGGGTGTAATTAATTTGTTTGATTTTTAATTTTTTTTCTTATTTCATTTTCTTTTGTTTACTTGGACTTTTTTTTCTTCCTTTTTTAACCCCAAGGAAACCCTTTGCACATCCCCGGCCAATTTATTCCTTTTCTTTTTTATTTTTTGATTTATTTTCACCATGATTCCATGGCTTTGATTAAAATCTACTGAATTTTTTTCTCAGAACGAAAGGAATTAAAAGTGTGGATACCAAACGAATTCGAACAAAAAAATTATAATTAAAATGAAATTTATTTCACTTGAAATCACTCGGGTGGAAAAAGTTTGATAAAAACATTTTTCTTCTTACTTTCAGCGAATTCTTTGATTTCTTTTCGCTATGTTTTGAGCAGCATCTCTGACATCTCTTTGTTTTATAATGGCTTTTAAATCACATAAGTGAGATTAAAGTTCCATCAAATATCATAGTTGATGATGGTTGTTGAAATGAATGTTGAGAGTAACCGAGTTGGAGAACAAAAAAGTTCACTAAAGTGATGTTAATAAAATACGGTTTAATAGAGATGTCTTTACGGACATTATTTTCTATTTGACCCAAAACATCCATTGCATCAAATCTACACAGCCGTAAACTCATAAAAATAATGACATTGAAGTCATAAGTATTGATTTGCCTTTGATTATGTTGTAATATCATAGGGGAAAATCTAATGGAAAACTACTTTTTCTTCACTTTGATGATGATGGTGTAATGTGTCTAAGGCCATAAAATGTGATACTTTTGTCGATTCTTAATAAGCTTCTTCTCTTTGACTACTGATTTTTTGTTACATATATAGTTGATAATAAATATAAATGAGAATAAAAAGAAGTTATGATGATTGCGGCTGCCTCATAAGATGATACATTTTATCGGCCAAATGGGCGAAGGTGTGGGAAAGTTTTAGCAAATTTCTTCCTTTTTTCACTCACAAAATATTTTTATATTACGTATGCTATTAGATATTAAATAATACAAGAAATAAATAGATTTACTTTTGAAAGAAACCACCAGAAAATATTGATCCATTAGTTTTCACCAACATCAAAGAATGTTTAGATAAAAATAAATCATGCACTTTGATGTCTCACGTTTTTCCACGATACCACCTAATCTTGATTATAATGATAATTTATTAATGTAATAAGGTAAATCTCTTTATTAGTTTTATAAAATGTGTTTCCATCAGTTTGATGTTCAGTTATCTTTCATCAGTTTTTCTGTTTTTTTCTGCTGACCATTAACAATGAAGCTTTATAAATTGTTATAAGAACATGAAGAATTAAACATCTCTGATGAGAACTGCTTATTTATTATATTTTCTAAACTTCAAACAATTATTCAACATGATGCAATAAAACAATTATTGGGACTTTCAAGAAATTTTTTTTAAATGATTCAATGCGCTTGTAGAATTTCTAATTTTTCTGTCCTTCCTTAGGATTCTTAGGGCGATTACGTGATATTCAAATTATTTTTTATATAATGAATGAATTAAAATTGAGACAGAAACCTGAAGTAAAAATAAAAAGAAATTTATTTATTTTACTCAACTTTGACTTGCAACAGGTCGCGGAATAGGATGAAGCGGAAACGATTTTTTTCCTTCAAACGAAGAGCATCAAATGTTTAGTCATGCTGACAGCCGTGAGTTTTCTTTTTTTTCCTTTTTCATGGGCATTAAATAATTTTCTTCCTTTTTTACGCTCGTAATTTTCTCATCTAAATTAATGATACGAGTTTGATTGACTGGTAAATGATTTAATTATTCCGTTGAAAATTTCGTGGGGTTGGCTGATGCGAAGGATTGCTTTGATAATGTGCGAGAGAATTTTCCGGTCAATTGAAATCTCTTTGGAACCCGGATGACGAAGGAAACCTGTTGAAGAATGTTGCCATGATTCCCAAGCATAGAACTTCTCACTGTGAACCCTTTTTTCTCAGGAAGAATCGGCAAATAATAAATCAAAAAATATTTTAATTAATAAATATAGCGTAACTTTTTTTCCACCTCCCAGCCATGACAAAGAATTTTTTTTCATTTCTTTTCTTACCCTTTTGAGATCAATCTTGAGGGAAAAAAGAAACGCGGTCAACAAAAGAAAGTCGCAATTGTTATTTTTTAATTTTCTGGAAGTTATTTTTTATTCTTCATCACTTTTTGCACAAATCGACATGATAAGAAATATTTCTCTATAATGTTTATATTTCTAATCCAAAGAATATTAATGAAAATCGAATTTATCTCATATTATGCTGAATATTAACATGATTTGAGGAATCATAAAAATATATTAGATTCAAAATAAATGCCTCGAGCTTCAAATGTTAAAAGACATCAAAAATTAATTATTATTATTTTAAATGACTAAAAAATCACTGAGAAAATGGAAAAATAACAAACTGAAATTTAAAGAACCCAAATCGACCATCGGCTAGCGCGTGATTCCTTTAAGGCAACTGAAGTTGTGCTCTTGAAATAAATTTATGGAAATGTTTTCAGAACCAGTCGCTCAAAGAAATTAAAAATTGATTAATGGTCAGAAATTAATTAAATTTGTGTTTTTTCTTTTTCCTTTTAACCCTTTCTTCCTTTTTAGACATTTCAAAGCTGACTAAAATTACTTAGATAAATCTCAACATTCTTATTTTTCATTCAAAATAAATTTCTTTCATAGTAAATGATTTTTCGAAGTGCAGCATATTGTATCAAGGAGTCAGCTGGCCAAATGTTACATTTCTCTTTTGTTCCTTTATTTCTAATTAAAAAAATGAAATTCAATCGATTTCTGTGTCTTCAGTTGCATACATTCAAGGCGTAAGCTGTTCTCATTTTGTTCTGATTGAAAAAATATTTCTTAACCACAATAGCGGTTAATAAATTTAAGTATAAAAGCTGAGTCGCAGCATGATAAACTTATTATTATGTTTCAAACTATTTATCGTGAAAAAAAGTTTTTCGAAAGGAAATAAAAATGGGAAATAATGTGAACAAAGACGATCAAGACAATAAGGAAGTGAAATCGGATGCAACTAAAGAAAAAAGCGAGAAAGATACATCATCTAATGAAAACAGCATTAATACTTGTGCTGGAGGTCTGACTGAAAGTGAAATGAAAAAACTTCAAGAAGAGCTTGATGCAGCAAAGGAAGAAAACAGTTTTAGTACATCATCAAGATGTACGATTGCTTAAATGAAATTGTCTATTTTCTGTTAACTAACTTACGCTTTTCATAAAACTCCATGTAATCGAATTTGTTTATCTATAATTATATTGAATATTAAAAATATCATAAATAATAAAATTGCTTTAAAATCTTTACTTCGTTCTGTAATAATTGCTACACATGAACATACACCCACACAATAGAGAAGTATGTTGTTTATGAATTCTCATCTCTTTTTCTCTTTGTTCTCAGCTTATATCATTTCTCGGGATTCCCTCAGCCGGTTGTTTTTTTGAACTAAGTATTTAAGTTGATGATTATTTCAGATGAGACGTATCAGTTGAAAGAAGCCAAAACATATTTTCTTTCGGTGATTTTTAAACAGAATTAAAGTCAATAAAAAAGATGAAGTTTGTGATTTTGTTTGCAAAGTTTCTTGTTTTGATATTTTCTATTACAAAATGTGATGCATCAAGTAAGCTAATGAACTTGCCAGAGTTTGGGGAATTGTGAAAATTAATAAATTTTTGTTAAAGTTCCGTCTGTGGCCTCACCGGTGCAACTTCTTAATTTATCAAATGGAACAAAATCGGATATCGTGTACAATGAAGAAGCTGTAAGAAATTTATTCTTAGACCCGAAGTTAGAAGGACGAAACGTGGTTGTGTTCTCAATAGTTGGAGCTTTCCGCAAGGGAAAATCATTTCTAATGAATTATATACTTCGTTATATGTACGCCAATGTGAGTGTCGTGATAATCAAATTATATTTTTATTAATAAAATGTTTCTTCGAATTGATTGCAGTACAAATCAGTTTCAAACTCTCAATTGATAAATCATGAAAATTGGTTGGGAGATGAAAACGAATCATTAGAAGGATTCGATTGGAAAGCTGGAACTAAAAGAGTTACAAGTGGGTTAATTTTATGGTCCGATGTTTTTCTTTATGACAGTAATGATGGTGAGAAACTTGCAATTTATTTGATGGATACTCAAGGATTATTCGATCACAAAAGCTCTTCAACTGATAATTCAAGAATATTTTCATTAAGCACAATGATCTCATCGACACAAATTCTCAACTTATTGAATATAATTCAGGAGAACCAGTTACAATATCTTCAGTTTGCGACAGAATATGCACGATATGCAACAGCCGATGAAGAAAAATCAGCTTTTCAGAATCTTTTGATACTCATCAGAGACTGGAACTCTCCAGAAGAATATAAATATGGAATCAGAGGTGGAAATGCTTATTTGAATAATTTCTTAGAAATTCATGATTACCAAACAAAAGAATTGCAATCAGTTCGAAGATATTTGAGATCGTCGTTTGAAAAAATTAATTGTTTTCTGATGGCACATCCAGGGAAAACTGTTGCTCGTGACTCATCCTACAATGGCAGTTGGAGTCAAATTGATGAAGATTTTGTACATGGAATGCAAGATTTATTCGAATTCTTGTTTTCGCCTAGGAAATTGACAACAAAAAAGGTCAACGGAGTCGCCGTGGAACCAGCTGAGCTTCTCGTCTTTATCAATTCTTATGTGGAAAATTTCAAAAGCGATGAAATGCCAGAAGCGACCAACATTTATGAGTCAACTTTGGAAAAACAGTTTAGAATATTGCTGGGAAAGAGCGTAGATGTTTACATAACTTCAGTTGCATCACACAATGCTGAACTTCTCAGTGAAGAAGATGTTGATGCACTTCACGTTTCTGCAAAGAGTCCTGCGATGGAATATTTTAATTCAAAGAAGAAATTTGGATCATATTCTGAAGGATTAAACTTCAAAAAAGAATTGATAAAGACAATCGACAAGGCTTACGAGCAATGGAAATCAATTTCAATTAATCACATTCGAACATTACAACAGCAGCGACAAAAGACTAATCAAAAAGAAAAAGAAGTAAAAGAAGCAGAAACTGCAAGATTTCAAGCAAAATCGGAATTAGAAGCAGCAACAACAAAAGCTGAAGAGGCTAAGAAAGATTTGGAACAAGCACGATATGATACAGAGGAAGCAAGACGACAAGCTGAAGAACTGCGCTTGAAATCAATTGAAGCAGAAAAGGAAAGAGCTGTTGCTATTGCAAAGGAAAAAGAAACACGAGAATGGCTTGAGAGAATGACAAAAGACAAAGAATTTTTTGAACAACAGCTGAATGAATACAAAGCGAATGCATCACAAAATGTTGGATCAACTTTGGGAAATTTTCAACAAGAAAATGGATTTTCAAGTAATTATTATAAAATATTGTTAATTGCTTTTAATTGAGGTTTTGAACTTTTACAGGAGTTCTTGGAAACATTTCAAGATTCTTCACAGCTGCAGCACCTTTCGTGAGCTTATTAGGAGGCTTATTTGGATGATTTTTAATTTCAAGTAAAGTGAAACATTTCGTTTCGCATTTTTCATTCTTATCAAATATGTTTTTACGAATTTTGTGGATTCTGTGTTTAAAGTGATAAGAAATAAAAATTTTGATCAACTTCACATGCACAAGACAAAATTGTTTAACTTCTCTCGAAATAATTTCGATAACGCTTGTGCATGTTATAACGAAAATAAAAGAAGCTTCTCAGTTTGTTTTCAATTGTCGCAGTGATAAGTCGTCTTCATATTGTTCATTGTAAATAAAAAATGAAGTTTATAATCTTTCTTATGTTCTTTCTGCTATCGGTAAGGGTGAAAAACAGTGTACACTGTATAGGTCAGTTAATTAGCAGTTGTGTCATGAATTCATGTTAAATTATAAGACGTTATGCTTTTTAGTGACACCTGAACTCGAGCCAGTGCAGCTTCTTGATTTCACTTCGAATGACAACAAAACTGTGACATTAAATAAAGCATCAGTTGAAAATTTATTTTTAAATCCTTTAGTGTCTGATCGTGATGTTGTTGTGGTCTCAATAGCAGGAGCTTTAAGAAAAGGAAAAAGTTTTCTTCTTAACTACATGCTTCGTTACATGTACGCCAATGTGAGTAGTCATTCGTCATAAAGTTTTCCTCTGTCTTAACTAATTAATTTAGTACAAAACAGTATCAGCACCAAACAGAACAATCAATGAATTAACAGCGAGAAACTGGATTGGCGACTCCGATGAACCTTTGAAAGGTTTTTCATGGAAATCAAGCACAAAAAGGGAAACTGTTGGGATTATGTTTTGGTCTGATGTCTTTCTTTATGATTCACCAAATGGCGACAAAATTGCGATATTCTTGATGGACACTCAAGGACTTTTCGATCATTCAAGTTCACCTACAGATAACATTAGAATATTCTCATTGAGCAGCTTAATATCTTCTGTTCAGATTATCAATATTTACAGCATGATTGAAGAAAGTCATTTGGAATATTTACAGGTGAAATATTTGCAAACATTTAAAAATGAAATTAAAAAAAAATTATTTAAATTAGTTTGCTACAGAAATTGCGAGATTCACGGCTGTGGAGTCAGAATCAAATTCAAAACCATTTCAAAAATTGATGTTTATAATCCGTGATTGGATTTCACCTGAAGAATATGATTATGGATATGAGGGTGGAAATAACTTCATCAAAATGTATTTGAGAATCAAAGATTTTCACACATCAGAGTTGAAAACAGTTCGAGAATATCTAAAGAGAACGTTTGAGAGTATTACATGCTTTCTGATGCCATATCCAGGAAAATCTGTAGCCAGAAATTCTTCCTACGATGGAAGATGGTCAGACATTGATGAAGAATTTGTTGATGTCATGACAGAACTTTTTCCAATTCTCTTGGCCCCTTCAAATCTCACAGTAAAAACTGTCAATGGTGTGCCAATTAAAGCTTATGAATTACTTATTTTCATACGACAATATGTCGATATGTTCAAATCAGAGAATTTACCAGAAGCAAAAAGTATTTTTGAGTCAACATTAGACAATCAATTTCAGATTCTCACCAGCAAGTCAGTTGAAGTTTACCTGGAATCGATTTCAACTTATCAAGATCACATCTCGAATTTCGATGAGATCGGAAAGCTTCACGAGATATCAAAAGCTATAGCAATGAAATTTTTCAATGAAGAGAAAAAGTTTGGATCAAATGAAGATGGAGAAGTGTACAAGATGCAACTTGATAATAAATTAGAGAAAGCTTTTGCTGAATGGAAACCGATTACAGTTGACTTCTTAAATAAGATTGAAGAAGAACAAAGTAAAGCAAGAGAACAAAAGAAGCTTGCAGGTAAGACAGAAGTTCGAGTAATGCAAAGCAAGAAAGAAGCCGAAATAGCTGATCAGAAATATTTTGAGCTTCAAAAGATGATCGAACTTGTTCGATATGACACTCAAGAATCTCGCCAGGAAGCTGAGATCATTCGGAAGAAACTTGATCAAGCAAAGTTGGAACGTGAACAAGCTTTAGTGAGAGAAAAAGAAATCAATCAACAATATCAGGAATTGAAACATAAAGTTGAGATTTATGAGCAACAACTTTACAGCGAACGTCGTAGGAATTCATTTTTGCTTCAACAACGAATGAATGTTGTTCGAAAAAGAGATGGAATTCTTCAGTGGTTCGCTGATGGCGTCACTGCATTCCTTGGATTTGTTAAAAAACCTTTTGATAACGTTGGAAAATTATTCAACATTCATTGAATTATGTAACTTTTTATAATCAAATGATTTTCATAAATTTCTTTTATTTTCACATGACCGAACATTTCTTTTTCTTCTTTTTCCTGTGACGAGCTCGTTCTGCTTCCGCAGCTCTTTCAGCTTCTATTCGTTTCTGTTCCTCAATTTCTCTTTGTCTTTCCGCCTCAGCAATTCTTTGTCTTTCTAATTCAGCTTGAATGGCAATCTGCTGCTGACGAAGAATCTCTCGTTGCCTCGCAGCTTCAGCTTCTCTTTCCCGATTCTCACGTTCAAGTTGAGCGATTTTTTCTTGTGCTTTCCTTTCATTTTCAAGTCTTTCCAATCGTATTTGCTCGGCTTCTTTTGCAGCTTCTTCAGCTTTTCGTTTTTCTTCTTTAACCCTCATAATGTTTGCCAATTTAATCGCTTTCCATTCAAGAAAATCATTTTCAATTTTCTTACTTAAATTTTCTCTGTAATTGTTAATATCATCAGATGTTCCCATTTTTCTTTCAGTGTTGAATTTCGTCAACGCAGCTTCCTTTGATGAATTATGCACACGTGAAATGGCAGCATCATCATTGATTGAAGATACATTTTTATTGACAAATGCTTTATAACTTCCAAAACATATCGCCACTAACGCGATCATAAACTTACTAAGTGTTGCTTCATAAATTGAATTTGGCTGAACAGTTGAATTTTCTTGATACAATGAAATAAATTGCTGGAAATATTCGCTGATCATTTCACCTGTCATTTCAATATTATTAATCTTTTTCGTTTGAAGATTCTCAACTCTAAGAAGCTTTGAAATGCTTGCGATAAGTTCAGTCTTGAAGTCTTCATCCATCGACGACCAACGTCCATCATAATTGGAATCTCTTGCAACGATCTTCCCTGGATAAGGCAGTAAGCAGCATGATAGCTTATCGAATGATGATTTGATGTAAGTTCGAACAGATTTCGATTCTTCAGGGTGATTTGGTTTGATTATCAACAGATCGTCTAAATATTTCTGTCCACCTTCGAATCCAAAGTCATATTCATCGGGATTATTCCAATCTCGTACCAAAAACAGAAAACTTTGAAAAGGTTTGAAACTTTGTTTGGTGTCATGATTTGATGTGAATTTAGCATATTCCGTTGCAAACTGCAAATATTGCAATTGATCTTCTTGGACAACTCCATGTAAGTTTAAAATTTGAATTGATGATAGTAAAGTACTTAAAGAAAGAATTTTGGAATTGTCTGCTGTTGAGGTTTCATTGTCAAATAATCCTTGAGTATCAACAACAAGTATTGCGAGTTTTTCTCCACTTGGATTATCATACAAGAAAACATCAGACCAAAAGATGATTCCTGTTGTCTCTCTTGCAGTTCCTGAACGCCATGAGAAACCTCGAAGAGGTTCATCTTGATTTCCCATCCAACAATTATTTGCACAATTGATTTTAGTATGATTTGCATTTTTAATTGATTTGAACTGTGAAAAGTAAATTACAATTACAAACTTCATGAACTTCTCTTATTGAGACGTTTGACTTACGTTTGCGTAAAGAAATCTCAAGCAATAATCCAAGAAAAAACTTTTCCCTTTACGAAATGCTCCAGCAATTGCCAAAATTACAACTTTTCGATCTTTAACCTTTTCATGAAGAAGAATTTCATCCAATAATGCTTTATTAAAATCGATGCCATTAGAATTAAACTTTATAATTGTTAATGGTTCACCGTATATCTGTGACATTTTACTAATCACTTTAAGGTTTAAACTGCACAATAAAATAAAGCGGAAATTTATTTGTATTTATATGTAAATTTAAAATAAGACAAGCAAATTTATCAAGTTTTAAAAAATTCCAGAAAAAAATCCCAAACGTATTTATACATTGAGGTTTCGTTTAATGACTCATGAGATAAAACAAAACCACATTGTTTTGAAACTGAATAAAAATTGTTCAGTAAAGTTGAATGAAGGAACATCAATTTGCAGTAGAAAAATTGTGCAAATCTTGATCGGAAGCAATTTAACAACATGAATATTTATCAAACAAGAAAATGAATCTAAATTCAATTTTACATTGGTTTTATCTTTCATGAAAATCTTTCCTCGAACTATGCTGCATATAAATAATTTACTTTTCATTTTCAATTGTTTCTGAATTGGATAATTGAAATAATTCAATTCTATTAACCTAAGCACTAAATCAAAACTTCCAATTTATCAAATTTTCCAATTAATCGAACATGTTTTGTGCTCGATACAACAATATTATTATTATGTAACAGATTTTCTCCACACTCAATTCAGATTTCTCCGATATCAATGTGCTTAAATACATTCCATAATCTAAGCTGTGGTTTGAAACTAACAAAAGCAGAAATTGAATAAATTTATCAATTTTATAACATGACAAATGAATTCAAATTTCTGGTGAAATGCACAGCATAAAAGAGAAAATTTTGATATTTGCATTGTGCATTGAATATTTGCATGATATTTATGCAAAACTCAAAAATCTACAAGTTCTATTTAGTTAAAGTCAAGCATTGAATAGAAGAGAGAGAAATGCGATTTATTGTCAATGAAAATAATAAATTTGACTCTACTTTAGGATCACGGAGAAAATTGAAACAGCATGAGAAACTATAACATTGATAAATGGCAAAAATCGAATGTCAACTAAACACAAATAATTGTTTTAGATTCCTCGTTTGAAATGAAATATATCTGGCAATTAAATGAATGCGTCATCAATGATTGCAAAGTCCAAATTCTTACTCATCGCTTACAGAAATTCTTCTTAATCTGAACTGTTCTGCTATATGTACAACATCCATAAAGTTTCTTCCACCACTGCTTTTAACATCGAGCCAAATCGAGATGACTTTAACGGAAAAAATCGTAAAAGAAGGAAAATGCATCAAGTACACATGAAAACGTTAATAAAAATGTGGAAGCTACTGAAGTTCTCGTTTTCTTTTACATAAAAAGAAAATGTCATAAAATTCCAATAAAACTAAACAAATTATTGACGGGAGTGAAGCGAAATGTTGACGAAAAGATGTCTTTCATTATTCAATATTAATAAAATGTCGAAAATGTCGAAACCTCCCTTGGATAAATCAGCTTTTTATATCGCGTGTCATGGTTTGATAAATTCATTTGGATCGTAAAATTTTCGGAATTCATTTGCGAGTCTGAAGAAACTGTTAAGAAGGAGGAAGTTTTACGAGACCAACTATGAATTACTTAATAACGATGCTCAATGCATTAAACATTGAATCAAAAATGTTTTTACCTTAATCTATGAGAAAGTTAAGGGGGAAGCAAACATCTTTAAGTAAGTAACAGCATCAAAGTAAAAGTATTAAAATAGACAAATTTCAGTTACCAATTTGTTGCTCGATAACTTTTTTAGTTCTTCACAATGGAAACTCATCAGACTGCTCTTCCTTCCAAATCACATCCAATTCATCTATCTAAATCACTTGTTTCAAGTATGGTCCATCAAATAAATGCAAATCACATAACAGAAAGTGGATAAAAAATTGTTATGACCCCAATTTGTTAACGTAATCGAACGATTCCAAATTTACTCAATTTTCCAGAGGCGATGAAATCATTTTGGTTCTTTATCAATTTCAATAATCTCAGTCAAGTGTATCAAGTTGCCTTGGAGCAGAAAATTTTGCAGATTTTATTATTATGAGAGTCCTATGCAAGCTCGAAATACTTTTATTATGATAATTTTATTCAGCTAATGCTATTGATAGCATATGGAAGCTTGCTTATAGTTACGAGTGTTTGTGGACAACCCCTTCGATTGAGTCAATGCAATTTAAGTGCAAAGAAACCCTTTACATGATATTAAGGGTGTTAAAAATACTCAAGAACAGGAAAATCTGTTTGTTGCTCCCACGGGATTGAAGTAATAATCTGCATGTAGCATAATAGTTGAACGAAGATTTTTTAAGAACTTGTCATGAAAATATTTCACTAGAAAACTTTGGAACTTTTAATATTTATCACTTCGAGCCTCTAAATTAATTCTCTTTTAATTGATAACTTCATTCAGATGCTTTTATTATGTAGAAAAAATCTTTTGTGAAATAAAATAATGAGAACAGCAAGATAAGCACTCGACTCATTTCTGAGCACGTGGAGAGTTCTCGTGAATACAGAAAACAATTAGCCTTTGATGCTTCATGAGGTTTCTGTTTATTTTATCCATTCCATTGCGCATTGAAAGAAAACATTTCTTTTATATTTCCATGCTCTGAGAAAAAATTCAAGTGTTAGTTTAGTTATTGAAGAAAATTGTTGAAATTGACGAAGATGAAAGGGGAAAACAACAAACATGTAAATTAGCTTTCAGTAGTTAAATGAGAGACGAAAGGCATAATAAAAAAAAAATACCCAATTTGGTCAAGAAAGTTTTTTCTTCAATTGAAATTGAAAGTTAAAATTATTGAAATTGTAAGACAATAAAAAATTGTCACATTAAGAAATGTTTTGAATCTTCTTTCTGCTTGGTAAATAAGCGAGTTGAAGAGTGACAAGGAAAAATGATGAGTAAACAAATATTTGAATAAATTCAACAAACGTCCACTGGAAGAAGGGAAGAAAATGTTTGAATGCATTCTTCTTTCACTTTCAATATTTACTTGTCAGTTCTATTATTTCGATATGTCAATTTTACATGTTTGACAACATTATAAATTTTGTGATTTTGTTTGTTATAAACTTAAAAATCATACAATGCGTGCCAATTTAATTTGACTCATGACTTATAGAAATAAATGTCTTATCAAAAGCTTTATTGAGGCGAAGATGATTTGATTGAAAAGAATTTGAATTTCTCTTCTATATTTCATTTATGTCACTCGATTAATTCCGAAGTGTGGTGTGGTTCTGAGAACTATTAAGCATTCTATTGAAATGATAGACATGTTGTGTGGATTTTTAATGTAAAAGAAATGTGACATTCGTACAATCATTTATTTTATTTCTTCGTTTATCCTTACATGTTGTGTCTAAGCCTCGTCATGTGAGAGTGAAAGTTCCTTCAATCAACTTGATGTTCGAGAGAATTCTGTCGTACGAAAAGCATAGCATAGAGAGGACAGTAGGATTTGGGATTACACTTTATAGATAAATAAATAAAATTGAATCGTAAATCATTTTGATGGAGGCAATCAGATGATAAATGATTTTAGTCTTTTTCTCGTCTCGTCTTCTAGTTTCGGCATACATACAAACTGAGGAAAAACTTCTTCACTTCAGAGACATTCCTAGAATGTCAACTGATGATCAGATAACAATAATGTATAATCATATTTCTGTCTCTCTTAATGCTTCTACAATGTTTGCTGGTATAGTTTTTGGAAAATTATATTAAAACAAGACTGAGTGATGTAAATTATAGAATGAAACCGTATCACTATTAATTCATCTACAATGCAGATATTCATAAAACAACATTCTTACTTCTTCGCCAGTTTGTACGCTTCCCATCCGGTAGCAGAAACAATGGCGAATTATATTACTGACTCGGTAAAAGCATTCGTAGATCTGACAAAAGATATCGTAAAGAAGAAGTAAAATGCCCTCATGCAAATTCATAGGTAATTTTTAATTATTTCGGTTTCACAGCACAGGTATTTGCAATGTTCAACGTGCAGATTAAAATATATTTCGGCTATGAGAAAGAATTTAAATCCTTCGACTCTTCTCTCCATTGTAGAAGGATCTGCTACTTTCCACGAAGGACGTCAGTGAAAAGATTCACCTAAAGGAGAATATGTTAAAACCTCAGTCCCATCATCGAATTTTCTGTGAGAGGGAAAATGAAAAACAAAATATTTTCTCTGACTGCTTTGCTGTGAATTGCGAAAGGAAAAAAATGTAAATAGCGATTTTTATAGCCGAGTGAGCGAGATGTTCCAACATGAAAGGTAAAAAAATCTTCAAACGCAAGAAAGCACATTGCACGTCCTTTTCCCTTTCTCTCTCAATGCGATATGTACACGATGAAAGAACTTTCCACAAGATTTATCTAACACGAAGTAAAATTATGTATTTCAGCGCTTTTGTTAGAAAACAGCGTTGCTTTTATTTTAAAAACATCAAATGTGGTACACGGGTTGTGAAGCCAAAGTTCGTTTGAATGAACCCATATCAAAGTTTGACTTTTTCTTTCTTTCTTAAAATCTTAAAAAGAGTTCACGTTATTCTTATTCTGGAATATCATTTTTAGGAAATCATAAGACGGAAAATTTATTTTCTTCCACAATCTCTACCTTCAAGGTTTGTTGAGCATGAGTAGATAATCTTTGATGCACCGATCTTCTTTCTTCATTTGTAGGCACAAGGGAAGAACTACAAGCTATCAAATTAATGGCAATATTTTGTTTATGATCGACAAGACACTAAGATAACAACACATCCCTTTCTTACTCTCCTATTGTTGCCTGAAGGCTTCAAGATAATTTGAATGGGTGGGAAAAAATTTGACAATAACCACACAAAAGATGTCAGAACGGAAGGAAAAGACAAGATTGAAGATTTTTTCTTGGCAATTTTTCTTACTTTTAATTTTTCTTTCACTAAATAAATCAAGGATTTAGACAATTAAAATAAGTTTTTATAAACCTTGAATTCAGGCTTTTATTTATCATTGTCATGTAATAAAGCGACGACAATTTTCCGCTATCGACACTTCATTAAGATAGCGAGAACGGTTAAGATTCTTTAACACGAAAAAGATGTTCAACTGACTTTTGTCATTTTTCATGCATGATCTGAAAAGCAGAAAACATTTTTTGTTCCGAAAACTGTGAAATAAAAATATTTTATTATCAATTACACTTCTAAATGACATCGTCATGAACAAATCATCAAAAAATTGTTTAGAATTTTCTAATCATATTAAGTCACTGGAATATTCCATTCACACCATTAAGACCAGCAAAATATTAAAAGTGATTTCGAAAAAGATTTTTTCCACCATCAGAATGAAAGGAAAATCCTAGGATATCAAATCATTGCAATCTTACCTTAGATTTCAAATCCCTCGCTCGAATGCATTTCCAGTGAAAATATATTATCTTTATAATTTTTTTCACTAAGACGCGACGCTGTTGATATTTCCTCGCCAATTCCAAGTTAGAGAAAATTTTCTTACGGTGGTGGCATTATATTGCGGATAAATATAAAATAGCAGCATGCCATAAAACTTTGGTGTGAAGCAAACGAATGATGAAAGAAAAAGATATAAATTTGCCATAAAAACAGAAGGCAAAATGGCTTTAGTTTCACCAGCAGCAACGTCTTAATACCATACAACAATATCGAACACCATGTACATGTGGCAAGCTCTTAGAAAGTTTTAAGAAAGTAGAGGGAGCGATGATGATAGAGTGTGAGAACTTTATCAGCATATTTTAATGAATGTTTTGTTTTGTTTTCGTGGCTTGAGAGTGTTAAAAAGATTTTTCGTATTGAAAGGAAGAAAGCGGGGGAGTCTGTAATTTTTCCCTTTTTCGTCTTTCGCTTTTTGTTTTCAACACGCAACACAACAAGCTGAGAAATGAGAATGAGTTGAGAGAAATATTCATAATTTATATTACAAAATCCATAATATTTTATAGCGTCGACATGATTGTGTGTAAAAGACGTGATAATAGGAAAGGGTTTATGATAAAAACATCCGCACAGAGAATTTTCCGTGAAGCTGTTTCTTGTCAAAGAATTAAACTCTCAAGAGGGCAGTTTCGAGAATACCTTTTTCTTTTCATTAGTTTATGTCGGATTGTCATTGGGAATAATAATTATCACAGAAGTTAAGAAAGTAAGATTTCTTGGAACACAATGAGATGATGTAGAGATTCAAGATATTGATTGATCTTCAGTAGAAGATTTTCTAATAAACTTTAGACACGACACGTTTACTTTCTTCAATAATAGTAACATAATTATTATTTTAATATACAAAATTATCCTTTCCTTTGTTTTCTAATGACGAGCAGATATGTCGATAAGGTAATAGTTTACCTCTATTAAGTCTCTGTTCATTAAAAGTAAGAGCTTCAAAAAGCAATTTATTGTCACTTTTATACTTATGTATATGTTTGTATCCCTCTTATCACAACGTCATTTGATCTCAAAGTTGTTATTAAAACCAAATAATTAGTAAATATTTGCTACCTTTAAACAAACATCTACGAGAAATATTTACGACGATTTTCCCTTCGAATCCCTTTTTCGGAAAAACGACTTTCCACACAGAAAATTATCATTCAATATTTTATAGGCAAAACTATTATATAGACTTGACATTGTTAAAACCTATGAGGGCATGGAAAATTTTCAATTAAATTTTAATATATTTTGAAGGAGGCAAAGTGTTGATTGTTGATATAGGAGTGTGAATATGTGTGGCTTTTCAAGAATCAAGAATGTGTACTTTAAGTTATGATTATTGATTTAGGAAAATTTTCTTAACATTTGCCTGTAGCTTTTCTTCATCTTAGGGTGATTCTAGTAAAATAAACTGAGAGTTGGAAAAACTACATGAAAACAACATCAGAATTTATTGAAATCACGTGGAGCAATAAAAATAATATGAGTCAGATGAGGCAGAAAAGGAGAAAAGAAAAAACTTTTATCACAACAGTCATTTGTTAGTCAATGACTTGATTATGAAAATCAAAAATGAGAAGGAGAAGGAAATAAATGATAGAAGGACTTAAGCTCGTTTTATGTCATTACATTTCGTCTCCACATCCATTGTCTCTTTTTATTATTTAAATAACAGCAAATCGTATTTTGTAAAAATATTTTTACATATTTATCTCGTTTAGTGTTGAGAATGAAACGGCTTAGAGTTGTTCCTTTTACTCACATTTCTCCTTGGAAGATCCTTCTCCTTACTGTTTATGTGAAACTTGAAGAAAAAAACGGTGAAAATCATAAAGTTGACGAATGATAACCATTATCCATACGTGTAGAAAACCGCATAAATTTACATTTTGTGAAGAACGTTTCTTCTCTTTTTCTTAAAAATGATGTTAGGAGATGTTTCAAATGACAAAAATTCGTGATATGATTTTCCATTAAAATGTGCACTAACAGTAGAATGGCAACAAAATATTTTAAATTGTTTTATTAGAAGCCATTGAAAGAAAGCTTTACTTTGAATCATGTGAATGTAATGTCACGATTGCTATCTACAAATTATTAATTAATGACCAATTATTTCTACTTTTTTCTGAACAATACATTCATGAATATGTTCGTTATCAACTTGAACAGTTAAGATTCTCATTTCATCTCTTGATACACATCTGGAAGAGAATAAAGAATAAAAGTTTGTGTAAATACATCCCGAGATAGAATAGGAATTAACTGAAGTGTACTTTTGCAATCCCTTCGGTGTGGGAAAATGAAAAATCCTTTGATTAATTAATTTTCGTATGTCGAAAACCTTAAAAATGACACACGTTATTTAGTTTTTACCATCTTTTATCCCTTTAGCTTCCCTCACCATCTCCTCGTCGTAATCCATCAGCTCGTTTTCTGTTTTACAAAACTAAATAAAATTACGGTTCGTTCGGTTTTGTTGGAAAATCATTAAGCATTTAACATGTTTTAGGTGATTTTCTCCGACTCCAATTTGGTCTCTCGAAATCACATAGAAAACAAAAGTTCGAAAACTCTGCTTTCAATTGAAACGTTCACCTCCGAGTAGTTTCTGAAGCATCATCGTTATTTGATATATAAATAATTACAACAGAAAAGAACGAACTTCTCATGTCATACATTTCAACCGTTTCGACAAAAGAGCATGATGATTCAGGTATGAAATGAAAATTCACCACCACGATCATTGTTTGTCCACTCTCACCATTAGTGTGAGACTCAATAAAGAAGCAGACACAATGATTTTGCAATAATATTTTGCTTAGGCTCGTTTCGTTTATATTAACTAAAGAGAGATTATTTGTGTCAAAAAGCAGTCGAATATTTTCCATAATTTGAATTCAGATCTTCTCGCATGATCTCTTTGCAATATCAGCATGATATATGCTCGCTAAATGCGCAAAATATTCATACTTGTTAAAAACAAAATGAATTAGAAAATAGAAAATGCTTGCCAACGTTGTATGGAGATTGCGCTATATCAGAAGTTCACTGTAATAAAGAGAACAATTGAGAACAGCTTGGACATGAAAAAATGATTCATGAATACGTTTAATGATGCACACATTGATCTATGAAGACCTGACATAAATCTTAATTTTACTATTCCACAGTAAATAAGAAGTTTTTCTCAAAATTGAGTAATTAATTTTCCATTTTAAGTTCAGTTAAGTAAGATAATTCTTGACCCTTAACTAATGTTTGTTCTTTACTTTGGTGACAATGATCAAATAAAATTGCCCAAAATTGTCATTTTCAGAAGAAGATTTTAAGCAAAAAGCAAGTTGCAGAAAAATGTTCTCGTTTTGTGACACCCTTTGATGTTACTTTGTCAAGACTTTGCAGCATGAGAAAGGTATAAAAATTCTTTACATGAAATTCATTACGATTGTTTGAACATGTTAATTGTATGTATGAAGGAAGATAGATTTTCCTAAATTTTCCAAAACCACAGTAAATGTTATTTTAGCTGAAGGCGAGGACATGCTCATACGTTCTTCAAAATATATTTCAAAGGGTCCGTGCTATCCTCGAACGAAAACATTATCATAAACACATTCCTTATGCTCAGGATCGGAAAGTCAAAGAGATTAAAAGAATTTTTCTTTATCTTCTTTTTTCGGGTGTGGTGGAACATCGTTAATGTATGAAAATTAAATTTACCTTAGCTGACGATTGAATAAACCAAATTAAATATATTTATTGTTAACTATGTGTAGATGGTGGTATTGGAACTTACTTGAAAAGTTATTGTATCAGAATGTTACACATTTTAAGATAAGTCATAATTAAACATATTGCATGTCGACAAATATTTTCTGGAAGATTAAGTTTGTATCATAAGGATAAAGGCTGACTATGTTTACAATAGTTGAAAAGGACTGCACATTGTGAATATTTAAAACCTGCGGTTAAAACTTTCTTAAAGCTAAATTTCAAACAACAGCTTGTTATAAGATTATTTTGTCACCCAATGATTCTACAAACATCAGCACAAATTTAAAAGTTTGCATTTCATAAAAGGTTTAAAGAAAGAAAGTTTTTCCAGTTGAAAATTTGCAATGACACTCAGCCAAATTTGGAAGCAGTTGAAACTTGAATCTCGAATGTCACTTTGTCGTGGAAGATCTTCAAGAAAACTGTTTGGCTGTGTGGTTTTTTTTAATATTAAATGACATAATGTATTTGGAAGCAAATAAATCATATTCATCTTAAAAGCGGGTTGGAAAATTATTTACACAAAACGAGACACATTTCTGAAGCAAACAGAACGACACTTTTGAGCAACACTGGGATGATATTTTGCTTGGTTTCTGAATGTTTCTTGTTTTGGCGAGAGATATTTCCGCGACAACTTTTTTTTAATGTCTCCTATTGGTTGAGATTTCAACGACGCTGCATTGCAATAAATATTCATATTAATTTCATTTCCTGAGTGAATTCTCAACTATCTCCTGAATATTTATTTAATTCAGCTTAACATTTTATTCTTTCCCTATAAAATGGAGACGGTAATCTACGACATGAGTGTCGCACAACAATTCTCAGTGGTTATGAATCGATTAACTCTTACATTCCCTTGATTGCTTCTCGTTATTTATTATCGTTTGTATTGTGGCGTTTTAAAACTTTCTCATTTGTGTTCGCCAATTAGCGAATGAAAAATCATTTGCCATTATTTTTAAACTTTTTTACGGTTGATCATGCCAAGAATTCCGCATACATTGATAAATAAAAGTTTTATTAGAAAAGTTAAACATGAAATAGGAGCCACTGAGGTGTTGTTAATCACTTTTGACCTGATAAAAATTAAGGAAAATTGCTTCAATTTTTATTGATTAAAGATTTTTCCTTCAAAAATTACTTTTTAAAATTAATGTCTTTGCAATGTTTGCTATTTATTGCCGGGAAAACAAGCAATTTAATTTTTGAATAATCATCACATTAATATTTTTCTTTTCCATATTTCGTCGTTCAAAATATTTTCATCTTTCATTACTTAGCAGTTTTAGATTCCAAATTATACGTAGAGGGTTTTCAGTCATACTTAGATGAACCGAGAAAAAAAGCCATTAATTTGTATAAAAATGTCATTAAATTATTAAATTCATCGTTTAAGCCATCACATAAATATAGGCAAGATAGAAATATCTCATGGCAAATATGGGCAATAAAATTAAATATTCGTGAAATATTTTAATTTTATTACTATTTAATATTTATCGCGGGCAAAAGCATATTAAAGAAAAAAAGCATGTAAAGTTGGGGAAAATTGATGACAAATATAAAGAAAATATATCGCGATAATGGAAAATATTATTGCTTGTTCAAGCAGAAGAAAATCTATTAAGATCTTAAATTCAGAGATATTTTTTAACATATCAATTTGATGAAAATGATTTTTCTTCCTGATTTCTCTTCATACCTAATTAAATTTCATGTTACAATTTTTTTTCCTTTGACCATCAAAGTCTCCCCCTCGATTTGTAATTGTTGTTGTTTGTAACATCTCAATTTATTCGTCTACGTTGAAGGTTATTTTAGGACTTTTCTGTATCAAATATTACATTAAGTCTTCTTCCCTTAAAATATTTGCCTCGACCCTCTTATACTTTGATAGAGACCTACCATTATTTGATATGTTTTTCACAGCTTCTACACCCATACCGTATCTGTTCACCTTCCTCTTGAGAAATTAATTTTTTCTTGTGATTAATTTTTACGCGGAAAAAATGCAAATAAATGTAAGTAGATGGCGAAGCGACGAACAACAAGCGGCTTGATGGAAAATGAATAAATTGTGAATTAGCAACGCTTCTTTTCATTTTTTTTCCTCCTTCTCTTGCCGAAAAGAAAAACCAAAGGAAATATTTTCCTTTCGAAATGGACTTTCAACGTGTCTGCAACGGGAAAAATAGGGATTTAAATAAAATCAATTTTTATCATTTTTGTAAGGAGTCTTGTTGCTTATCGGGTGGAAAATTTAGTGGACATTGAATGTTAATCTTCTCTCTTTTCATTCTTCTTAATTCGATGAAGATGAGTGAAGCAATTTAAATAAGAACAACAACATGACTGTTAATTTTAATAATAAAAAGCAACAGTCCAGCAAGTGTGAGACGAGAGAATGTAAGAAAATTATAATAATCAAATAAAATTGAATTTTCAATGTAATTATCCTCTCTATAGATTCCAATTTCGTCTTCACAACACACCAACCTTCCTTGCTTCATTGAAATCATTCGTTACAGTCTATTTATTTCAAATTGATATTTTGTTTGCTTTTTTTATGTAATTATGTTAGCTGAAGCTGACTGAAGCAAAAAAGATTCTTCCGCGCGCTTTTATAAAAAATTAAAAATTGATTAGAAAGTGTAAATTAAAATTTAAATGTGATTCCATTATTTTTTATCGTTGCAGATTTTTTTGCCTCTTTTTTGTTTTCTTTTCGTTATGTCTTGTTAATTTGATTGTTTTCTTCTTGTTAGTCATACAGAACAGTCGTTAAACTGTTTTACTTATTTTAGAAGGTGAAAGCAATTTTTATTCTTTCGTCTGCATTCTCAATTACCTTCTGAGAATGAGTAGGAGATATTTACAGTCTCTTGTCTTTCCCTTAAAACTTCATTAACCCAACGCTATTTTTCAAAAGAGTTTATGAAGTCAGAGAAAGGAAAATGAAGCAAAACAACTCGCAACTATCCACAAGTTATTTGAGCTTTTCATGCAATTAGAAGATTCTAAAGGCTTTTATGCTACCAATACTTCACAGCCACTCCATTGTCTTTTGTTTCCAACTAGAAAATATTTCCAACCGTAGATCGCTGCTAAAACAAAAGCGAAATATTTTTGATTCATAAAGTGCAGCTCTTAGGAAGAAAATAATATGTTTAATCTCTTGAAACTGTGTTTGTACCTCATAGGCAATTTTCGTATAGCGTAAGAAGAGGAACGATGGAAATGTAAACGGCAGCCAAATTACACTGCGGATATTGGAAGAGCGATGTGAGCGGGCTATTGGTTCTCGTATGTCGAGTAAGAATGGTATTGTCTCAGACTTCTTGATATATCTTCGTGTAATGTTTTGTCGGGTGCATTCTCATGAGAAAACAGCGACACAAAACATAACTAAACTTTTACTATTTACGACGCACACAAGTCACAGTAGCTAAGAAAGCACAGTTGCCAGATGAATATTACGTGCTGCCGGTCTTTCGAATGTCATGCGACAACACGTTAAACATTAAAAATATCCTTTAAATTGCTTTTTTAATTGTTTTTCCTTGCTGAAAACATATCTGAACAATGCAATAATTTTGTTTCTTACTCATCTGTATAGAGTAAAACCGAAGAAAAGAATATTCAATAAAACTCTTTGCAAAAATTATTTTTGAATGAAAGTGAAGAATTATTTTACAAGTAGTCAGTCTGCATCAATCAAAACTTACTTCTGAATGTTGAGATCCTTGCAGGAAACATGAAATTTCTTTTTCTATTTATATTAAATTGTATCGGATGTGTATTTGGATGACGATAAAAGCAATTTCAAATCCAGTTCAGGTAAAGTTTTAATGTCTTTTAGTAGCTGCTGTTGTGTACAATCTTGCAGAAATCATTAAATTCCCATTTCGATTACGCCACAAATGGGGGAACAATAATTGCTTAGTCGGGGATATGGCGGTTTGAATTTGAAGCAAACGAATCTTGTGATTTCCCTTCCTTGAATGGACCATATTTTACAAAACAAGGAAAATTTAACGCCGCTGTTTTTAATACTCTCAAATATGATTTATAGATATCGTAAACAAATGTTGTATCTTTTTCCCTTTTTTTATATGCCCGCGGAAAGTCCTTTTCTCAATCGCTGAAATGTTAAATTATTTGGATGGAAGAAAAAGTTTGATAAACGGTGAGGAAAATATTTATTGCTTTCCATTTCGTTTTCTTTCGATGCTTTCTTTCAGTTGAAGAGTAAAAATCTTTCCATCCGTGCATAAAACTTAAACCCGCGAAACCAATTCTGAAGGCGACCAAGTTTATCTTTAATTTATGAATCATTTAAATAATGTTTTGGAAATATTTTCTCTCCCACTCTCTATTTCGAGTGGAAATATCTGTAAGTAATAAGTTTCTTCTTTCGATTTCGACTTTAGAAATATGCCATAATTTTACGATAAAAGATACACGATGACAGAGAGATTATCGCAATGAAAACAGAAACAAAAGATGTTGTTTCGTTCTCGTGAAATGGCTTTACCACTTAAGAAGAAATTTATAAACTTTTGGAATTTCGTAGTAATTGAAATTCCTTTAAATAACAATAAATCTATAAAATTTTCCTTTCGGTGAATAATTTATAGTTTTAGGAAAATTTACGACTTTCATCGACAGTCTATTTCTTCAAACAGCGTTATACTTTTTATAAGCTTAAATATTTTTAAGACTTTTATCATTAAAATATCACTTTAAGACATTAAATCATGAATTAGATATAAACAATTTTTTCTTCTTCATTCTTTTGAAACATTTTTGCTTGATAATCAATTTAAGATCATTTGCAGTCGAACTAAATTACGGGGGGAAGAGAGCGATAAATAACGTTAAAGCAGGAAATCTAAATTAGAATTTGATGTGAACGAGGAGAAAATTCCAATATTAATAATGGAAATAATAACATTGCACCATTCATTCCCACCCACACGCCGGAAAGAAATTGGGTCGTATCGCCATTACAAGAAGGAAAAATATAATGACAGACAATTTTTAATGATTTAAAACATTCTCTCTAGTCTACCTTCTTCTTTATTGTGTCTTCATTGAACCCAAAGTCGAACGTTCGAAGAAATATGCAAATTTCATTATCTTAAACGTTATGGGAGACAGAAAAAAAATACAAAACGAAATAAGTGATTTTTTTCTCCCGTCGAGCGCTAAATTAATGTTACCTCAATTTATAATGCTTTAGTCGAATAGAAATAAATAATAAAAATTCAGTGAAAGAAGGAACCAAAAAGGAATACTTAAATGACATGTAATTTTTCTTTCAATTTTATCTTTCACCTCATTTAACCGTCCTCGAGACGTGAAGGCGACGGATGGGGTGTTAAAACTACTGGAAGAAATCTGTGGTGAATGAAGCTTCATCTAATCAATCAGTGACATTTAAGACTTGTAAGAAAAATTCTCGTCGATGCAATTTATGGCTTGCTTTTGTTTTGTTCTTCTCTGATTAATTTTTAAGAATTTATTCAAAGCAAGTTGGAGTCATTCACACGAAAGAGTCTTCCATAAAATAGCCATCGTTTAACTTGGAAAATTAAAGTGCATTGCATCCTGAAAAATGAAGAAACAAACTAGAAAGCACGGATAAAAGATTGTCAATAAAGTTCTTAAGAGATGAACACCAACTACATACGTTTTTCATAAAAGATAAAAGTCACGATGGATGTGTGAAAAGTTCTCGAGACAATGTATCAACGTACCACCACGTTTCTCAAATAAAATCTTTGAGAGCTATTCAGTCATTGAGAAGTATTTGAGGATGGAGAAAGGAGGCAAGGCAGACATTGAAGGTTTTATTGGACAACAAATTTCGTTTTTCTCTGCCCTTTTACTTAGCTTATTGTTCTGAAATTTCCTTTCGGTAGCAGGAGGCAATAAATTCCGAAGAGGTCAAACAACAATAAAAATAAGCAGCAGCAGTAGCAGCAGCAGGCGAGAAAGAAAGCAAAAAGAGTTTTACAGGAACAACAAGACGACAATGCAGAAGTAGAAGAAGTTAACAGAATGGAAAGTCATGTTCCAGAACGATAAAACTGCTATTTATGAATTTATTTTTATTGACCATATTGTTTTTATATTTATGGAAGGAAAGAAAAGTTGGAACCATTGCCGATGGAATCATCCAACTTTCTTTTTTCGGTTTTATTTTGTTGGCTCTTTTAAAAGATCATTAGAGCAAAACAGAAACTAGCAGGATATTTTATTGATTTGCCTCAACGTTCAATTAAGAGAAAGTTTTCCCTTTAAGAGTTGTACAGGTGAATGAATTGAAACTTTCCCGCATAAAAATAATTCCAGACAAATAAAACGATCGAAGAAACATTTGACATTTATGTGATATCAATACACATTCATAACAAACAAAATAAAAACGAAATAAATTGAAATTTGAGCAGGAAGTCAGCAGCTAATTAATTAGGATTCATTTCTCATTCTGAATAATTCTCCCCAAATGAAGAAGAACTCTGAACTGTTAATGGCACATTCTTAATTTTCATTTATTTCCCTCTTCTCTTGTATTCATATGTTATTAAAGTTCTTTCGGCACTATGAAAGCGCCTGTTATTAATCAAAATCTTAAGCAATAAATCAACTATTATTGACCCTTCTGCCCTGAGCACCATAAGAAAGTATACAAACAAACAAAGAGAGTATTTAATATGTTTAAGATGTTAATAGTCCTCGCAGCTACTTACGATTCTTAATGTATGTGCTTTAACATTTCGATTGCCTCTTAAAATGGAGAAAACGTTGAGAGCGGATGTCCATTGAGTAACCAAGCCATCCAATGTCACCTAATTAATTTAACTTCTTTCGACTGTCTTGTGTCTACTTCTATTTGGAGATGCGAATGTATACGCACTCAGCTGGAAGAAAATAAGTGGATTACGTATATGTGTTTACCGCTGAGAATGGGTAAATATATGTACGAAGGAATTTCCTTTTCTCCAAAGATGAATGATACATTGGAAAGCATATGCTGGTGAGTTAGTGCCAAAAAGGGACAAAAAAATCATTTCATCTCAAAAACTCAATAATCTCATTTTTGCACGCCCACACCCAACTCACAAAAACCTCGAATGCTATTGTTCAATCACCTTTGATGGATTAAACAACAAACGATAGAGAAGAAAAGAAGAGAAATAAGAATCATTAAATTATTGTCAAACAAGAAAAGCAAATAAACTTAGCTGAACAGCAGGCCACAATAATCGAGGGAAAGCAGATTAAGGATGAGAATAAAATATTTCTTACATTTTTCCTTTTCATTGATGACAAGAAGCAAACATGTAATTATTATTTACAGTCAAACAATGACAGACGTAATAAAGAAAAACTTCGTCGGGATGAGAATGAAAATCTTTTAATATGAAATGATCGAATGAAACTTTATTGAAAAAAGAAAATCTTCCACAATTCTTTAAGTAGACATCAAAGTATGTGTGCAAATGTGGTTAAAAATATAATGGTTAAAGTTACTTGCTTGGAAGCCCAAAATTTAGATGAGTAAACGATTGATATTTATCAGCGATGGTGGATTTTATGACTGTACAAACTTGAATACCTTCCGTATCCTATGAATTCTAAATTCCATTACGACACTTAATAAATTTTTAAAAAGTTTACCGAAACAAGATTTAAAACTTTTCCTTCCCTTTCAAGAATTTCATTCAAACACAAAGTAATTTATCGAATGCTTAGTCCCTGGGCGACCATAAAGGAAAATTCAAATTATATCGACTTTTCTTTTAAGATTTCCTTCCTTGTCAAATCGTAAGCATTCGATAGAACTGAAAAGACCAACTCAATATTATTTTCACTTCTGTTAATTCAGAAAATGTTTGAGTAAAATTTTTCATTACATTGATTCAAAAATTATGGAAGTAAATGATAATTTTTCCATAAAGTTTCGAGAATTTTAATCTTCTGTCTCCTTGCTAATTTACCATAAAAAACTCACCAAATGGATGATTCCCCAATCTTACAATTTCCATTTCATTAGCGTTGATTGTATATGTTGTAAGTATTGACGGAAAATATTTTTATTTCTTAAGAAAAGTTCATCATTGAAAACGATAGGGGAAGGGCGAATGGCAGTTCCAAAAAAAATATCCTCAATATTTCTTCAGGATTCCTTCTGCACTCTCAAACGGCAAATAAAAATTTATGTTATCATTTCTTTTAAAACATTTCATTTCTGATTTTTTTCTTCACTCCTACCACGGGTCTTGAACGAGGAAATGTCTTGAGGGACATATTCAATGATGGCGAATAGACTGGGTAACGTAATTATGAATATCATAAATATTAAAATAATTTTAAACAATGCAACGCGCCCTCACAGAAGAAACAAAATCTTTACTGAAGAAATAAACAAGACTATCATGCAAGTTTCATGAAGATAAAGTTGGATTCATGGCGGCTGAAAATAGGATGTAAATTCCCTAATTCACTTGATAATTTTAATTAAACACAAGTCGGATCACTAAATTTATAGACAAAAGCAAGAGCGAAGGAAAAAAAAGTGAAAAATTCCTGAAGACGAGCAGAGTAAAATAAAAACAACAGCAAAACAATTTTCAACATATATCGTCAGCCATAAAGGGAAATTTATTTGACATTTTCACCGTTCACATGCCTTTAAAGCAGGGCTTCGGTCCGGAACCTTTTTCCTGTTCCGGAACAGGAAACGGACCTTAAGGGGACCATGAACTTGTTCCGGAACAAAAACGGACCGTTCCGCAAACGATAAATCTGTTCCGGAACAGGAAAAGGACCTTGTTCCGGAACAGGAAACGGACCTTAAACGGATCTCGGAACACGGACCGAAGCCCCGCTTTAAAGTTGTTTCTTTTTGCTTTCATTACATTTGGTGCTGTTGAAGCACTTTTGCCATCAATGATACTCGAATGAGCGCAAACCCTTTTCCCACTTTTTGTCATTCGTACATATATGTACATTTCAACTTAAAATGCAAAAAAAGAGAAATGAAATATAAAAACTACAATTTAATACGCCTTTTGTCACCCCCGCTTTTATCTCTAAATTTAAGATGCCTTTTAACAAACTTTTTTTTGTTTTGGAAGAAAGGAAAGATAGTGAGTGTGTTGTGAAAATGCGAGATGATAAAGAAATTTTAAGCTGATATGGGTTAAGTAACATATTGTTGTTAATATTGAGAGCTGCTAAGATAATATATAAAGAGTAGTAACATCAAATCTCATTCCTTAACCAAAGCGTCCTATAGGTTTGCTTTCTTCTTAAAATGCTAAACACACGAAAACTTTTCTTCACATCTTAACTCTCAATTAAAATTTATGGTGCATAAAATTTTTGTATTTACGTTATAGCGATGTTAGAGAGGCACTGTTGCTCTATGCTACAGATTTCTTTTTTACTTTCGTAGGCTTCTTGTTGACAGTTAATTCCTTCTTTACCGTTCTAATGATCTTTTTAATGCAAACATGAGTTGAACAAAAATAACAACAACATCAACAATATATGTGAGTTCAAATAAAATTTTAATTAAAATTTTCGACACAACCCGAATCGAGCTTTCGAGGGAATACGGAAATCCATTCGTAATTTGTTATGCTATCAGTCGCGGCTGCGAGATGTTCGACACATTATTTCGTTTCGTTCTCCCAACTGCTGAGTCATTTCATCGGTGAATATGTGAAAATATTTGGAACAATAAATATTTGATGGTGACAAATGTTTATCGCGGAACGAAAATTTACTGTCTCTAATGCACTACTTCCTATTTGTTTTAGTGATGAAGTTTCATGTCTGTAAATGAGCGCGATAAATTCACATTCAGTTAACAGATAGACAAGCAAATAACATATGCATCATGCATCATTATTTATGCTTCGTTTTGCATTTCGCTTTCTATAGAAATGAAGTAAATAAAACTTTTTTCTGCAAAATTCAAATAAAATGCATTTAGTTGTTTGTGATTTGAATGATTTTAGCATATTTTGATAATCATGTGGAAATGTTAAACGAAATTTATCCGTGCCAAGTAAACATTAATATTACATTAACCGTCATAAAGCGTTCATACTATTCGTATATGTAGAACTTTTTTTCATCCAGTCAAAAACATCAAAGTGAACGATTAAATATCATGAAAGCAGAAACAACAAAAACTTAAGTGCACACTAGGCAAATATACCTACTCTTGAATTCATTCATCATTGTGCTGAAGAAATATTTTTTGTGAACGTTCTTCTCTGTCATTCGAGCCATACAACTTTGCCTTTTTTAATTAAATCAAAAATCGCGCGATTCATAATCATTTCTTGTTTTAATAATAATTAATTTGGGGTCATATAGTGACACACTCATAAAAAGCACCGTGCGACCATTATGACCATTAATTTTTAAATGAAAATTTATCGCACTTTCCACAACAGCGTACATATGTGGGAAAACCAGAAAACAAAAAAATTCACGGAAATTTATGATTATTTATGTTTAGATAAAACAACAAAATTTGCCATTGAATTTTGAAGCCTCTCACATTGTTGCTGCCTCTGAATTATTAATTATTTTCCTAGCTGACCTAATTTAGTTAAATGGTCTCCCATCTTCTTGTTTCTCCTCACTTTAACACGATATGATTCGACATTAATGTTCGCCACCAACTTGAAGAAAAATTCAATCAGCAAAAATGCTTTTGCGAGTGATTCACAGTCATGTCACAAATGTCGAAAGAGAACGAGAAAAAATCACATGTCACGGTCGTACACAATAAATCTTTCCATTATCAAACACGGTAATCTTTTATTCATGATTGTGAAGAATGATTTTAGAACTGTCGGTTTCATGTCTTGCCTAGTCCCTATTTTTCGCGAGTGCCATATCTTGGCGCGGGCCAAGCCTTCATTTTAATAATAATAAAAACTATTCACGATAATCCAACTAATTATTATTGCTGTAATTTGACCACCGGCGAGAGTTTCAAAGAACTGTTAGACAAACTGTTATGAAAAAGGTGGGGAAAAAATCCACAAAGTATTCATATGTGTGATTAAAAATAATTAAATAATAAATTTAACTTCATACACTTTTATGTTTTCGGTTGGCATGTGATTGTTTTCTCAGAGTTGTATTGAGCATTAACACGTCCCGTTTTTATCCTTTAATGATGTCAACCTGTTTACAATACGACGAATGCAACTCTGTCATATTCAAGAGATAATTTATGTTCATCCTTTTATGTCTTTCCACATATTTTGAAGGACGGTTAACGACAATCATCACGAAAAAGAAAGGAAAACAAGATTTAGTTTTGGAAATGCTTAAACGAGAAATTTTACTTTCAATTAACAGATTTGTTAATTACTCGCTCATTCCAATGACTCTTCACTGTAAATCAATCTTTCTGCGTGTGATAAGCCATCGCTATTGTAAATATCATTAGAAAAACATTCAAAGTAAGAAGGCAAGGCTCGAAAATTGAATTAATTATTTTCTCTTTTTTGAGTTAAGAGTGGTTGTGTCATTTTTATATGCGAAAGATAAATATCAAGTGGACTCCTGCTGATATGCCATGATTTATGTCGGTATGATTTTCTTTACTCAAACTATGTATTTATAAATTAACCAAACAAAAACTATTTAAACTTTTATAAAATAAAGAGAAAAAAAATATCATCAAAAGGAAATATCTTCAAAATAGTTTTTCATATTCCTTAATCTTATTCGAGAATGAAGAATATTTGAGTGGCGAACCCCTAAATCAGTTTACTTCGTAAAAGAAGATTTAAGAGAAATTCTTTTGAGGGTTAATTTTTCCACCTCCACCACACATTCGCTTTTCTTCTTACTTTTGCCTTCACCAGATTACAGACATTTTTCACATACTTTCCCTTCTGCCCATCCTTAGATGATAAACTTCTTGGAGATTTCTTCAGCAACCATGGGAAGGAGGAAGGCAAAGGCCTTTGTCAAAGACACACGAGAAGGAATCTTCCTCGCGTGCTTTTTTTCACTTTCACAAGAAAATTTATGGACCCTTTTTGTATTATTAGTTGCTTCTGTTGTTTGAGAAGAAGAAAAAAAAACCTTTTCTATCCTTGAGTAATTTTTCTTTCTTTACTTTCGATGAAGAGCCAGCCAGACACGACACGAAAATCTCAAGAAAAAGGAGTGAAGCCCATAGGTTGTTGAATTTATTGGTCTTTGCTTTTTACTCACTTTTCTTCTCTCTGCTTTTTTTTTCTTTTTGGTATCGCATTAAATGCTTTATAATGATACTATTAAGCGATCTATTTGTTTTCTCTGTATCGCTTTGCCATAAATTTTCCATCCTTTCGCTTTTGCCAACCACTTAAGAAGAGAAAGTTTTCCCTTTTTTCCTCTTTTCTTAGTCCAAATTGTGCGGTTCAACCCTAAACAAGAAAAGAAATTTAAGGAATTTCTTCCGCTTTCTCCATCTTCCTCAAATGCTTTCCTTCTGTTTATTTTTTCTGTTAATAACCATCACTTGATTTATAGGAATTTGTAATGTGATCCTATTTCAATATTTATTGAAAAAACAAATGCAAAATAAGTGAAGGATTCTTGAAATATTTTCATCTTGAGAGATTTCTTTGGTTTGGTGATATCGGTTGAAGTTTTAATTTCTCAATGTTTTGGGACTTCTTAGATCAGTCTTGGATATAGAATTTGCAAACTTAAACTTTTTTAAAATTTATTAGATTCAATTCGTTGTTTTCTTATTCGATATTTAAATTCTGTATTAGAGAATTTGAAGATCTACACCTGAAGAACTTTTAATTTTTCTCATGTTAAGAAACGGCATTTCAATGCAGAGAGAAACAAATTATTTTTTCCATTATCTCTCGTCTATCATAAAAAAAAGAAAATTCTGAAATAACGGAAATGAGAAAACGAGAAAAGAAAATGGAATGAAAACATTTGTGAGAATGATTTTATCTTTCACAATAAATACATGATAAATTAGCAAAAAAATGAGCAGAAGATGTTTGATGCGACCCGCGCATACTTTAGGCGGTAATGATATTAAGGACACTTCGAAATGGTTTGTTTGCTTTTGGGCGACATTAAAAAATGTACAAATATCGTTAAAACGGAGAAGAACTGGCATAAATAATACATAAATTACTTGCCTTATTAATAATTTAGGACGAGTTTCAGCATATCTCCTCCGTTTGCACCCTCGGCACGTCTGAAGTCCGATTCATGATAATAAGGAATAATACAGAGGATGAAAAACATAAAAAATTCTTGGTTTAAACTTCGAATAATCATATAATATTTTGATAAATGGAAAGCTGTTTGTTCTTCTTCTTTCTTCTAAATTTCCGCTGTTATGTTCGATATCAAATAAAAAGCAGTGAAAAATTATTTATTATTTATAAATGCTTTCAAATCCAAATTATTCTATTTACTGATTAGGGGTTTGAATTTGTTTCTTTCAGAAGTTAACACAAATATTAAGTAGTTGAAAATGAATGTCATAAGTATGAGAATTGCATTTCTCTATTTCTTTGAATTATTTCAAATTTACATTTTTGATTAAAACCAGCAGCTCACTTTTCTATTAACTTCTTTTCGAAAGAAAACCCAATAAATTATGAAAACATAGACAACAAAAAAAAACCTACGTAGCTACTCTTATATTGTTGTTTCATCCCTTCATTTGCATAATTTAACTTTTATTCTCATGTTTTTATGAATAAAAAAAATTATTTTTTTAACATTTAGAACTTTAGATAAACTTCTGAGTAAGAACCATAAAGAAGAATTGATAAAAAAATATTATGATTGAGGAAATTGAAAACAATCTCACACAAAAATGATTAAATACGTTAGTTTAACAACATAAAAAAATAAAGAGAAATTGTAAATGAACGACGAGGGTTATTTGTGGGTTAATGTTTGTGCCCGTAACAAATTCTTTGTTCTTTGATCTTTTATTAATTCAGAAAATGTTGTATCAAGAAAAGAATTTCCTATTTTCAAATAATGTTCAAACGCAAAAGCACGCTATTGGAATTAAAGGATATGTTTTTGAGATTTTCACTTGATGAAGGTTATTTTGGTAGTAACCCCAGGAATAATTGTCGATGTACTGTTGGTTTGCGTGTGAGCTAAAAAGTTAAATTCTCCTATATGCTTCCATTATGATTATAACATGTTTAAGATGTAACAAATAAGCTACACAATTAAATGATGAAACTCTTAAAGAAACTGAAGAAAACTTTTAATTGAAGTGAATTTTGTGAATCTGCAATCTAACGACAAACGTTTCAATTAACCATCAGCTGCATTTTCATTAATATATTTTTAACACGAAAAATACTTTGACTACATTGTAATGCAATTGTATAAAAATATTTTCTTCCCTTCGCTTACGAGATGAATCATGAGATGAGAATCGAAGACAAAACAAAAAATTTGAATACTACTTAAGAGCTACATCACACTGATTGCATGAATATAAAAATGCTAAAATATTTTCCTTGTCTTTAAACATTGTTGCTTTCGTGGTCGAGGGCAGTTTAATGTAGATTGTAATTTTTAAATTGTGTCCCGAGGTAAAACATGATTGATATCAGTTTGAATTTTTTATTAGGATTTCTTTCCTTTGTCTGTCTTCTTTTTCCATTCGATAAATTATTGTTATGATCTCCGTTTACGACTTTGAAACACGATGAAAAACTGAATTGCGGAAGCGGGGAAAATGAGATTTCCTTATTCTAAAGGGCACTTTTGCGAATGAAATCAGAATTTAATTTTTTTAAGTGTAATTTCTTTTTTCTGTTGAGACACAAAAACTTTGTAAACAAATTTTCCTCCATTTTATTTATTTATTTACTTACTAAAAATCAATAAATTGAATAATCATCAATGTTCGACATAGAATTGTTCTCGCCCTCTTTTAACTTTCAATCGTTCCCATCAATTCCATTGGTTCATTTCACACATCGACTCTGAGAGATATCGATAAATTTTTTACCAATTCAACCTCATCACGCAAACTCCAATCGATGTTTTACAATATTTTTCTCTATCAATGAAAATGTATGAGGAAAAAAGGTTGTGGCATAAAAAACGAAGCATCGATTCTCAATTGAGGTTTTTTTATTTTTCTGTTGGGAATGTCAACCCCTAGCATGAAGTCTTCTTGTGATGAATAATAATAAAAAACTATCCCTTCGGTTTTTGTCATTTCATTCAAAACAACAAAGGGTGTTTTTTAGTTCGATACATATTTGGGATGGAGAGGCGACCCTCTTCTTAAAATGTCATAAATTATCGAATTAATTCATTTATCTTTCTTATTTGATCATCGGTGGAAATGATCGGACCAATTTTCCATTTTCGTAGCCGATGGTCTTAACGAATGATAAACACAATTCATTTTGCTTTCACTCATACTTAGCTCGATGACTTCTAAGTTTGAACAAAATGGATGTAAGTTAAGCTTTCGTTCATTCATTAATAAGCAAAGTTAGCACTTGAGAAGTGTTCAAGACATTTCGAAAATATAAGCAAATCATTGTGCAAAAACATTTCACGTCAACATCTTTTAACAAAAGCATTTAAAACGAGGTGCTAAAAGTGGTTCTTGAGATATGTTGTTGGTTTTATAGTTCTAAAGTCCGAGTGTGTGAAATTAAAGTTAACAACAACATGCAATTAAATCCATGTTCATGTCAAAACTCTTATTAAAAATTGCAGAATATTTCAGAAGTTTTTCCATTTAATGATAGATTTAAAAATCAAATTTAAAGAAGGAGAAATAATCATTTGACTTACACTCTTTGTTTGAAGTGAGTGGCGATGATTTATGTTGTAATTTTATAGCCAACATAATGTTGCAACAATTAAACATTTCAACTTGAAGAGTTCACGGAAAAGATGAGAAAATATTTTTCCAAATTGAAGAGCACGAGATGAAACATTGTTGACAAATGTTGACAAAATATCATCATTAACTGTGTCATTATGATTGCAATTGCATATGTATACACAATAATTTGTATGAAAATAAACAAACCTCCTTCCATTTCTCGCCCATCAAGCCGACTTTCATATTTTCCATCTTTTCTCTTATAACTTATGCCAAGGACTTGTAAATTGTGATGATTTTTCTCGAGTCATTAGACACGTTTTTTCTCCAACATGCTTGAAAAAGTTTTACTATTTTTATGACAAATAATTGAGGCATGCGACAAACGAGACGAAGAAAAATTTATCAGACATCAATTTTCCATTTTGAATGTGACTCAAATCTAGTGGAAAGGATTTCTTTTTCGTCTTCCAACCAAAAATGTCATTAAAAAACAAATACATATTTATTTAGGCATGAAGCACAACATTTCCTCCAACCATCAATGTCGCAAGAGGCACCGAAAAATAATTGACTTTAAATGGAGGAAATTCTTAATGTCAGATGTTTAATGTTTCTTATCAAAAAAGCAACACGATGTGAAACAGAAGCAGGAAAATATTCAGAAATCACCAAAATATTTCGAAGCTTTCGCAATTATTTTGTAGTAATGTGATGTGCGAGGGAGCAAAGGGTATGAATATGGAAACGATTTCCTCCAATGATTCCATTTTAATGAATCGAATCCTCATCATGATTGTGTGTTTAGATCGTTTTGTTTCCCCAGCTAGTTGACAAGTGATTGAATTTTAGTATGGGGTTAAAACATTTGAAATATTTCTTACAGAAAAATTCATCTTCTCAAAACTATCTATTTCGAAATTCAAAGCTTTATGAAAACAGCAAGAAAGCATTTGACACGAGGATGGGCTTAGAAGTAATGACAATATTTACGCGCTCCAGTATCGAGTGTTGTGAGGGTTGAGTAAAAATTTTCAATTAGATTTTTAATAGCTTATGGCATGAGTCTTAATTTAATGTTTTATGATTATGATTATTATACAATTTTATATGTAAAATTTTCCTGATACACATATCTACGCACATCCTTTCGAAGCGAGAAAAGTCGATAAATTTTCTCCATCTCATTTCCTTCGCTTGAAAATTTCTTCAATATGAAAATGAAAAAGATTTTTTTTTTCATTCTGATTCGATGGCTTTTTCTGTTTCCATCTCATCAAGTTGACATTTCAAAATAGGAATTTAAACTCCTTCATCTTGAGACTCTCAATGAAGGAAGTAAGTCTTAGCAATTCTTTTAATTTTAAAAGAGAAAAATTATTCTCATTGCTTTTATAAACTTCTGAGCGAGATATTTACTAATTGAATGTTGGAATTGTTGAAATATTTTATCGGAAGCTCTATTGAATCTGTAAAACAAAATGTTACCAAGGATCATTAGTCGACTTTTATTTACTCAAATGGTTTCTAATCTAAGTGAGAAAGAAAGAAAGAGAGTCAATAGGAAAAGCCAAGATAAATATCACTATTAACAGTTCCCAAGTCTTCATTAAATTTCGAAGATTAAAGAATCAAGTTCATTTATCTCTCCCTTTTAATTTTCAATTTAAAGTTTGCCAGCTCATCTTGTTTCTTTCTTCTTTTTTTTTCTTCTCAACCATGAAGAACATTTAACTTAACACATTAGCAAAATATTATTCTTGAAAATATTTTATCCATCGCGATGAAGTCTTTAATTACTTTTGATAATATTCGAATGATAACAAACTTTCTTATGGAAAAACTTTGACGCTCTAATGAATGATTATTTTGCCTTCATCTTCAATTTTTTTTCTGCAGTAGCAAAAGTGCCAAAAATAAATTACGAGACTGCGTTGGGAAATGATAATTCAAACTGAGACTGGAGAAGTGAGAGAGAACGACTGAAGCCGATAATTTATGCGCGTTTTAATTAACGCTTTTTATTGTTCACAAGCGCCTCTCACCCGATGTCCTGAAGTAAGCTGGGTGGAAAGATGGCAAGCAATGTCATTTCAGCTCGCTTGGTGAACCGGAAGGAAGTGAACCATTTGAGTTTTCAAGAGACATTATTATGTTTTATTGAATTTTTTGCTGCTTGTGTTGCTTGGATAAGAATGAACATTTGAACTTTTTTTTTAGCACACTCGTTTTAAATGTTCTTCGGCAAAAGCATCAAATTACTCTCAGATAAAATTAATTTCGTTCTGTGTTCCAATATTCACCCATAAAATTGCGGTGTTTCTTGTTTTTTGCTTCTTCGATCAACATCAACGTTGGTTGGTGAATTCTTTGAATGGATACATTCTTGCCACACAACACAATCCGCCAATTACCCGAAAACAAGTTCAAAACATTTATTCCCCGAATTTCGATTCGAAACAATTCTTTATTAAATACTTGTGCATTATTGTCATCACATTAATTTTTATGGTATTGTTTTGGATATTTCCCTCATTCCTTTCCCAAAACAATTTTAATGATACAGTTTTATACAAACTTGTTGCCACATATCGCCCGCGTTCATCGTAGTTAAGGGATATTTAGATAATAATGAAAATACCATCACGAACCTGATATTCGCATCAGGAAAATATCGAAAAAAAAATAGAAATTAAAACAGAAAAAATGGTTTTTGAACGTTTATTGTCATTGGATATTGTGGTGATGTCATTTATTTATTTTATTGCATTCTCTTAACATCAATTTTCGAATTTCATATTGCATTAGTTATGCGATTTTTGAGTGTTAAATCGATTGATGCATGAAAAAGCTGCATGAAAATTTACATAAAATGTGAGTCAAAAATGCAATTATGGAAATATCTGGACATAAATTGAATATGAATGGTTTTTGAAAGATTATTAACGGTGCTGATTGAAATTTCATTTACAAATAAATGTAAATAAAATTTGTAATGAATAACGCAACAGATTTTGGTCACTCCTTCATTTCTTTGGTTTATTCATAATTTAACTCGATCAAAATCGTTCAGCTTCCTTTCTTTCTTCGAGTCCCATGAACATTAAGGGAAAATTGAAAATATTCAGAGGAGATTTTCATTTCTCCTTCACCTTTCATAGTGTGAGTTTAAAGTTTCATAGTGTGAGAGAATTTCCCCTCAATTTATTTACAGGGGAAATATCCTTGTGATTTCTTCCTTAAACATTTATTCACGAACTTGCTTCATTGTCGACAACATGTATTAATTTTTATGATCAATTTGAAATGAATATTTACGTATCTGATAGAAAGAAGAACAAAAGAATGAGCGGAAGACAAAAGTTTAAAGCTTCAAAGTTTCACATTCCATTCCATGGCATAAATGCTGAAGTCATTTATATTGTTCTCGGGTCAATTATTGAGGAAATTATCCATCCGTCCATCATTGGAATCCTGAAAAATTAATGTCATAAATCAGCTACAGAAAGGTCCATCGGAAGAAGGAAAAAAAGGCCTTCAACGCCATCAACCAAACATTCTTAATTCTAATCCGAAAGTCACAACCCTAGAAAAGGCAACATGGGCTGATGAAAAACCAAACTTTTCTTCTTCACTCACGTCTGGCAATGTCAAACGTCTATTTGTGACCTCGTCTCCCGCTTTTTTATGCCATCTTGCCACTAGGGATGATGGAGAGGCGAAAATAGAAATCCTCCATCGTCATCATCAGGCGAACATTTCGAATTCAATTTTTAAATTAAATATCGTACGTTTTATGCATACAAAAAAGCATTGAGAAAAAAGAAAGAGGAAAAGATTTTATTCTGCCAACATTCATCTAAAGCTTTGCACATTTTCGCCAAAGCTCGAATATTTAATTATAAATCGCATTTCGCCTTTTTCTTTCAATGCTGTTCATTCCAACCCATTTCGAACAGTGAATAACTTTTTTTCATCTTTATGGAAACAAATGAAGCTTTTTTGTACTCTTACTCCATTCCAAGCACACATTTCCATGTCATGTTATATTTCGATCGCTATATACTTGAATAGATTAAAAAAGCTATTCATTTTCCTATGCTGATGGAGATGTGGATGAATCGTGATGTGTTGCTGGGGTGGAGAACACCTACGAATATCTCTCATTTCATCAAAAAGCTTCCACAACCAATTTATTTTCTCTGTTTTTTCTTTCTTTTTCTTCTTCTATAGCACCAAATTCAAAGCTTCGTTTTATGCGAATCTCAAATATATCGCCTTTCATTTTATTCCCTCTCTCTCTTTCTTTTTGCCTTCCTCCAACTCCTACCCTCTGTGTGATCCATATATTGAACGTAAAGCACCCCCATGAGATGTGGGGTAGAAGCATATAATCTAAAAAAGGCTCCAGGAGCAATAAGAAAATTTCTCGCACCACCACTCGAGTCTCCACGCTTTCGATATAAATTTTTCCATTTTTTACGCTTCTTCTACATCTCTGCTTGCTGATTTTTTTTTCTCGCCATCTCCCGAGGAGCAAAGGCGAAAGCATAGAAGAACCATCGAGCATATAGGAAAAAAATCCATATACACATATTTGTTGTTGTAATGATTGAAAGGCGTGGCAAATGGCAATTTTTTCCGAATTTCTCAATTCCGTTTTTTATTATTTCTAAAGCGCTTTTTTCTTTTTCTCATTTTTTTCTTCTTTTTTGTGGATTAAAGATTAAGTACGCGAAAAAAAGCGTCGTTCGCTTTATGTCCTCTTTTTCCGAATATTTGAGATTTAGCAGTAAGCCAAAGTTATGTATTATGCGGGACGATCATAAAAATCGAAATCTCCAATACATTGCGGGTGGTGCACACACAACTTCCATAGCCATTTCTTTCCTTTTGCTTTTCGTCTTCGATGTGCTCTTCATATCATTGTCAACCGAATTTGTTCTGAAAAAGTTTCAGTGTTGAAAGAAAAATCGGTGAAAGGGAAAAAGAAATTGAGAAAGAATTGACTCACTCACACATTCAGGAAGCTTTGAAAGTGTTTGTCATTTACACTATGAAAACTCACAAACATTTTTACAATTGACACCCACACATCGACATTATGCACTTTTAGACGATTTTCCGAGGATAATTCTCTTCATTTTCATTTTTATTCTCTCAATAAGTTTTCTTTCTGGTTAATAACACAAACATTCAGTGTTGCATTCATTTGTTTCAGATCGCAGCACAGAAAAGAACTCTCGGAATCATTTTTCCACTCGGGGGTGGTTCCAGGGTGAAATATAATAAAGTTATATATGAATGAAAATAAAAGAATCTTAAATAAAGAAATTTGTTAGTGAATGTTGTGTCAATCTGATGTGACATTAAAAATATTTACTACATTAATAAACAAGAAAAAAGATTTAACTTTAGCAACAACGCTGGGAAAAAAGTTAACTTTAAGAATATTGATTTTTCTTGTTAGAGTTTCATGCTTGAGGTTCATGTTGTTTCATTTGCAGACATATACATAAAATAGAACATCTGTTTCCATGCGGATGGAAGAGGGAGGGTTGATTACAACAACCTACTTTTGACATCAACACAAATGTCCTTGAACCGAGTTAATTCGCCTTAACAAGATATCTTAAAGACACAAGGATATTCAAAATGATGATGGAAAATACGAAGAATACTTAGAAGGAAGAGAATGCCAAGGATACTGAATACCACGCTAAAGAAAAGTCTTTAATTGGATGTAATTAAATTTTACTCTTTCGCTTTTTCTGCCAGCTCAGACATTGCGAAAGACAAAAATCGATAATTTTAAGAGAACCAAAAAAGGAAATTTTTATCCCTTTAAGATTCTAAAAGGAAATTTAATAGCTTTAATTTTAATATAATAAACATTTCTGAATTAGTTTTCCTTCTGGAAAATTTTCATTGCAAACTTATGCAATGAAGCAATCAAAAAGTCATGGTCTTAATTAAAAATAAAAAATGATTTTTAAATAACTTTAAATTGATTCTGCAAATAAAGACATTTGTATATTTTCCCACAGGTAAATTTTCTCTCTTTTTATGTGAACTGACGGTACAAAGGATACAGTCAATAACCTTTGTTACTGGTAGAAAAACTTGCATAGTTAAAATTACCACCGAATAAATGTTTGACGGCAATCGGAAGTGTCGTCGTCGAGAGAAAGGTAAAAAGTGAAATGGTTTTTAACATAGAAGACAATTAAAAATTATTCGTGCAATTTAAGTTTCTCTTGCCTTTGAAATTTTGGGTAAAATTTTCCGCAAAAAAACCAAATTCTGAAATCACGCAAGAAGAAGTGACGGAAAAGTTTATCTGTTATGCATTCGAAACAGTTGAATAGTTCTCCAAACGAGAATAAAACTAAACATGAGTTCTTGACGTGATAACAATTAGCTAATCAAGTTGTTTTCATTTAAATGATGAAACAAGAACAATCACACCCCAAATATGTTCTTCCTCCACCCCCACATACTGAGAAATGATTGGAAAACAACTTTTCCAATCTCTTTTGTTGTCACAACTAATTTTTTCTCCTACATCATTAATTAATTAAATTTAACATCGCGAAAATCAAATAACGCGTCATTATCAATAAAATTAATTATTTTATTTTATAACATAATGTCAGCAATAGACAGAATGAGGAAAAAGTTTCAAAGTTATAACGAACACATGTTATAATGTGTAATTTTTTTTTGGGAGAAGTTCAGACGTTCTTTTGTTGAAAACAGAAGCGATGCTTCCAAAGTGCTTCGTCTAATTTAACAACAAATTAGGGATGAAAGAAAATGCTTTTTAGAAGAAAATTCCTTTTCTCGTTTCAATAAGCTTGAGGGAGAAATTTTAAAGCATCGCAAATTAAACACCTATTTGAAGCATCAGCCTCCATGCGTCAGAAATTTCCAACAACCGCAAGAAAATTGATAAAATCAAACTTTTCTGTTTCGATAAATATTGAGAAGTTTTTTAAGTCGCAAAATTTTGTTCACCAAATTAATTGAGAAATAATCTTAAATGTTTACCTGTTCACTTACTCATACTTATTGAAGTTATTTCAAACCATAAGTCAATTTCAATTACCAGAAACATGTGTTTTATGTTCGAATCTTCAAACTTTAACTGAAAACCATAAATACGGGTGGTTAAGTTGGTAATTTGTTTTGTCTATTAATTTGCTGCTGTAAATTTTGACAAAATAAATGTCCTTTAATAGATCAAATGTTTCAATGTTTCGTTGATATCATGTCACTAAAAATAAAACAACGCAAATATGTAAATTATTTATAAAGTATTAAACATGATTGTGTTCAAGTTACGATGTCCAAAAGTGCATTGATTCCATGTCAACATAATTCACTGTCCACATCTTTACTAACATATTTTGTATCATGACGCAAATTTCAATTGACTTGATGTGTTAATGCAGTGAAAATATCTACCGAAAGTATCATTGAAAGCTAATTAATTTCAGTTGAAAATTAATCACCTTTTAATAACCCAATATTGATAATGGTATGAATATTTTCCGACCAAACAAAGGGTCCATTGTTTCTACATTTCATGGAGGCGTGGGTGCGAGATAAATATCTCGCGAGCATAAATTTGTTGCTTCACTTCCCTTTCACAATTTTCATTGTTTTCCTGTGCTATGATGCCGCAAGGTATGCAACTTTTTATCAGCTGAAGCACGCACAATGCCTCTCACTTGTTGCTAATTTCGACAAGTGGTGTTGAACAGCGGAAAGTAAAATCAGATTTTAAATTAAATTTTAATCAAATTTTATCATCGCTTATTGCAGAAATATGATTAGTCAGTGTAATGTGAGCTCATACATGATGAATGATGGAATATTGAAAATTGTCTAACGATGATGAATTTCCTTCAATCTTCAAATCATCTCCTTACAAATCTTAAGTTTTCTTCAAGAAATAAATACTTTTGACTTGATGAAAGTGGGAGGAGGGTGAAGTTTGTTTCCAAACAACTTGATTCTCGATTAACCCATATTTCTGTGGGAATTTTCCTAACACATGAACATCATGTGTGTAAAAAAATCCCAATAGGAAAATTTCCCATGCATGCATCATACAGTAAAAAAGGGACACGATGAGTTTTCTTCTTCTCTGATAGTAAATCAAGTGAAAAGTCCATTAAACTCTATCCTTCTTCTCAATATCTTTAACTTCGTCTAAGGTTCATCTTTTTATTGTATTTGGGGAAGAAAAGTGTGTTGTGCAAGAAGAAATTTGTTGAACAATAAAAAAAGAGTCAAGTTATTTATGAGAAACATATTTTGGAGTTTTCCTTTTTTGTTATGACAAACAATGTGAAAATGGAGTTGGAAATTGAGGACTTTCTATTCAATGATTATGGAGACAACTCTCAGGTTCGTCACTTAGCTTTCGATTAACATTTCCTATCGATTGATGCAAATTGTGAAAAAAAGTCAATAAAATATGTTAGCTTCATAATTTTATCCAATTCACATCATTCCCTACAACATCGTAACAAAGAAAACTAATCAGCTAAAAATTCACACAATTCAATTGATTTCAAAATGCAAATAAATTATTGATGCGCGTTTTAGCATAAAAAACTCTTCCTCGTTTCAACTCACGCGTTTTAGATTTTTTTATGTTTTTACAATTTCCACCCGTCGAGAATTCGAATGTTATATCATCAAACAAAACAACATCATTTGCATATTTTCTGTATTTTTTTTGCTCATGCCAAAAGAGCAATGCGAATTGATCCCCTAAGGATAACGACATGCCACTGAAGAAGGAAAGGAAGAGAAAAAAATATTTATTTTTTCCAATCTATAACAACAACAATAAGTCGTTGTGAAAATTCCCCATTCCGACTTTCGAATGGCTTTATAGTGCTATTGTATATTACTGCTGTAAATTGATCAAAATGTATTGTTATTTTGCTTCATCGTTGACTCTTTTCTTCGCTTTTCATCTCTTTTTTTTGCGTTATTTGCGTAATGCTGGTGTATTGTGAAGAGAAGTGCTTCTAATATCCAAGATTGAGGGTGGATTATTAGGATGGGTTCATTGTCTCCCGGAGTGTATTTTCCTTTTTAATATTTTAGAGTCGAATTGTTGAATAAAAGTCAATTTCGCTTGTTATTGTAATGTGTATTCGCGGTTTTTTCATTGAAAATGTTTCCTTGAAATGGTTTTTCCAAGGGATAAACAAGTAATGATAACGCCAATGAATGGATGTAATCATAATTTTTTTTACCGAAAAGGAGCTCATCCAATTGATTGCAAAGTTCAGTTAACGAGCAATCATTTTCAATAGTAGAAATGCTTTACATTTATTTCCACTTTCAAATTGAGATATTCAATGGCCTCCTTCAAGTTTCAATCACAAAATTATCGTTCATAGTACTTAGATACTCTATTCAAAAGTTCTTGTTATCCTGCATAAAGAAGCTTCGACATTAAACACAGAAAGCAGATGGAAATCATAACCGAAAATTTCACGAGGAACGTCAAAAGCCCTCAATCATGCAATCAACCAAAAATAAAGAAAAAAATGTGAAAAGAGACGAAAAAATTCAAATGATACATGGAGATGTGATGTTGTTCGACTTTTTAATTCTCTTTACAAAGCTAGACAAACCATAAATAAAGAAGACTTTTCTCTGCCTTTTGTTCATGTCAATAAAAATCTGAAGCTTCATCCGTCTCTTTATTCTGTTTCCTTCTTTCAACCTCGGTTTTAATGATGACAGTTTCATGTAAAATGTACGCTGCCTATTCATAGATTGTTCAATATCCCTAAGTATCATGGGCGGTTGATCACTTCGGTTTGAGATGTGGGTAGGATTTTTACTCTCGAATTTATTTTTCATGTTTCAATAAGTTTTGATGTTTTTTATATTCACAGTTGATAATTTATTTTACATGTCTAAATATTTTTGTCTTGAAGTCATGAAAAGATGAAGTTTTAGATATAAAGTTCATTCATTACTAAATACAATTAACATAGGGAAACATTAAAACTAAATATCAATTGTTACATTTCATTTTATAAAACATTTCAACTCACTTTCATTTAATAGCTTGGACAGCATCAGAAGTCAAATATTTCCATTTGATGACGTAACAAAGTATGAGTTTTAGTAACAAACAAAATACAAAATACGACGATTGAGAAATTGAATGTTTTGTGCGGTTTTAGCTGTAATGAAATCAACGCTTATGAGAAAAGGGGTGAAATTGACCAAAACTGAATTCAACAAAAAGCAAACAAGCCTTTCTCGTTCCTTCCTTGTTTGTGTACTTAAAGTGGGGGAGTTGTTTGAAAAATTTCCAAACATAAACCCATAAATTATTTGAGATATTTTCGGTAGGAAAAGGGAAACAATAGGTCGCCAAATGATTTTACCGAACTTTGGAGAAACTTCTTTTGCAATGCTTTGTTCTTGGCCATCATCAGTTGTAAGAAAGTTTAGAAAAATGGCTTCAATACTGTTTACTTAATTTTATTTGTTGTATAAGAAATTGAGTTACACAATCAATTGTTCTTGGAATCGAAATGCTTACATAAATATGCCCTTCATATCCTTAAAAATATTTCATGGGAATTCTTTGTTCTCTCCCTTGCCATCGACATTTCTCAATTCTTTTAGTTATCCCCATCAGAAAGGTGTCAAGTTTCGTAGCAATGAAGCAACAAGTGAAATTCTTCCTGTCAAATTTTCAGGATGTAAAAAAAAGAGAAAAAAGGTTTTCACAATTTTTTAACACGTTAAAGCATTGCAGAGATTTACATTCGATTTTTCACACGAGATTGAAGGTACGAGAACGATACAATGTGCTTAACATTCATCCCTTATGATTAAATTTCCCTTTATCCTTCGATATATGCAAAACTTTATTGACTTGACTAAACAATCATGTTTCGTTTGATACTGAGAATCGGGATACGATGGAAGACATCTCCAATTTTCTCATGGGAAAAAAGAAACCAAAAAAAGAAACCAAACGGAAAATTGAAGGAACATTTTTAACAAATTGGAAAATGATTTGATTACAAATAAATTGATTTGATTGCATGTAACTTTCATACATTCATTGAGGGTGGAAACGTGAAAATCTGAAGAAAAACGTTTCGTGTCGAGAAAATCACTTCTTCAATGCTATGAAAAATGAAACGAGAAAATCTCTCGATTGAGTTGTTGACTTTTAATTAAAAAGCAAATATTTTGTGGTGAAGATAAAATTACAACTTTCTGTTTAAAGTTTAAACCTTTTTTCACGTTGGAAACAATTCATGGTACCGTCGAGTTGGAAAAACATTTTCATATTCATTCTCAACTTTCGCCCTGCTTCGTTTCTCAATCAATGAAATTAAAAATTCCATTTTCTGATTGAAGCTGAAAATGTTGGAGAAAATGTAGAAAAATAGACGTCGATGGAGCAGGTGAAGTGGATGCTACAGAGAATGGAAGCAGCAGAACACAAAAATCATGATTTCCTTTCAATATTCATATTGTCTCATTACGGTATTAAATTCTTCCCATAACCAATTCTTAACCGACTGAGGACTGGGGTAAACCATAAGCCATAAACGAAGAGACAACAACACAAGAAAACTCATTATTTTAATTGTCTTTGAGTATTTTCGCTGCTGGTGCCGATAGGTTTTCATCTGCTTCTGCTAAGGCTTCATTTGCAATCATAAATTCAACTTTTTGAACGAGAAATTATCGAAAGGGAGAATTTTTGATACGCTAAAATAAATTGTAATTCTAATTTCATGTTTATTTTCGCTTATAACTCTTTCTTTCATCTCCCCTTTTTGTGTTCCATTATGATAGAGAAAATTCCCATTAAAAAAGAAGTTATCGAATATTGCGGGGGTGGTGAAATGACAATAAATTTATTTTTCTTATTTAGGTAAAGCAGGAGAAGAAGAAGAATCATTATCGCTTTTATTTTAATGTCGATAATTGATAATAAAGCAAGGAAAGCTCTTAAAGAGATTTAAGATTAAAAAGTTGATGCTACTTGACTGAAAAACAAGAAGAATTTTTAATTATTAAAAATGAGTTGAGATTTTTTTTCATATGAAACATTTTAACATATATTTGATTAAACGTTTAAGAGTCGAAATGTAACATTAAATTGTAAACTGTAAACATCAAAGTTTGATTTAAATTTTAATTGATCCTGAAGTCACACACTTAATTGAGCTTGACTTATCTACTTTGAGCTTTGTGCAGCATCGTTTTCGCCAAGAAGAAACCAAGCCATTCTCGCGGATACAGCAGCGTTTCTTACTAATCTCTTGTGATCATCTAATGGAATTGTAAGTTCATGAATGACGTCACTTTTATATGGCACCAAAGTGAAAAGTGGATATTTTGTTATATTTTCCAGACATTTGCATGCCATGATGCGGACATCCATTGATGGTTTGAATTGAGAAAGTTTCAACAAATCATTGACGAGATGTTGAAGATGATTCAAAATGTACTGATTTTTGTCATGAATGAAGTTATTGATGATTTTCAGACTCAGAAGAATGCGCTTTGAGTGTGGCTTTGGATCTTCAGGATCAATTTGAACGCACTTAAAGAGAATCGGGCCGACCTTCTCTAAATTCATTTTCAAAGCTTGATGTGGTGTGATTTGAAGTATATGAGCCATTGCAGTCAAATGATGTTCGCTGTATTTCTCAATTTTATTTTCCAAGAACTTTAATGCCAACACGAAAATCCTCTGTTTGAAGAAATGCTTCAAAAGTGGCAAATGGAGTTGTGGAAATTCGAGAGAAATAATTTCAAAAGCCAATTCAGCAGATTTCGATAGTTTTGGATGATCGAGAAGTTCTGAAAGTGTTTCGAGTATCTCAGCAGCATCTGGATGACCACGAGCAAGTAAACCTTTACTGATCCATCCCAGAATTTCTACAGCTTGGTGATTATGTTTCTTAACTTCTTCCTTTATAACATCATAAATCTTACGCAAAATCTTTCGATGTTTATCGTCGATGGGAGCGCGATTAAATAAACTACAAAGCAATTGATTCGCGAGTTTTCTTACAACTTCATCATTGCTGTGTAAAGAAAGTTTTGTTAGTTCATTTACAAGCGTTTCAAAGTGTGCTTCCATTGGCACTGCAGCATCGAGGAATCCCAACAAACCAGAAGTAACGTAAAGATCCGGAATCGATTCATTCAACTTCATCAACGGCAAATATTTCTCAACAAGTGCCATTTGTTGATCATTTGGAAGTGTTCGAACGACGAGACTCATTACCAGTGATGCTTGGTACATCACATCTTGGCCTTCGTCTGGATTCTCATTTTTAATTAAATCCATTAACTTGATGACAATTCTCCATTCATCAAATAAAATTCGAGCGAGTTGATGACAATTTTCAGAGCTCAAAACTTTGTTTAAAACTTCCAACACAACAAGTTGAACTTGCAAGTTCTTGTTGTTGAATAAATTCAAACTCAACACTTCAATGACGGAATCTCTGAGCTCAGATACTTCCAGAAGAAATGACAATGTCGCAAATACATTTTTAGCTTTATTTGCATCTTCATATGTTCGAGATAAAAAACTTTCAAGTACATTCTCTCGAACTTCTTTTGGAAACACTTTGGCGAATGCTAAGATGCATTGTCGTTGTTCTTCTGTTGATCTTGTCAGATTTTCTTTAAGTGATTTATAAACGATTTGACGATTCTCATCACTAATGATATCTGCCATGCTTTGAAGCACCAAACAAGTTACTTTTGTGAGGTCTTCGCTTGATGGAGTCATGAGAACTTTCATCAACTCTTTTTGAATCTGAAGAATGTAATTGTCACCGATATAGTGAGCCAATAATTTTTTCCCACCAACTATCATCATAAATTGTCGAAAATCTTCAAGAACTTCGCATTTTTCCTTCACAGTTAATTCCTCGTTACTTGTCAAATCCGTTAGAGTAATTGGTAAAACTTTATTGATGACATATCCACATGAAATGTCAGTTGCATTGGCACATTTCAATACCAACTCCATTGTTGGCTTATAAAGATTTGAATCACGATTCAACAACGTTCCAATCGTGTTTGTGAAAATCTTATTCAAGATTATTTCACTATTAGCCTGATCACTTTTAAATTTCTTCAACACAGCAGATATGACAGCTAATGCTGTCTCATTGACATCTTTGTCTTTGGCACCAGAGAGAAGTTCAAGTTTCATAAATTGCCAAATTTCATCGAATTTCTCCAAAACCGATGTTGGCTCGAAATTTGTCACAGCTTTGATCTAAATTAAATAAAAGTTTTATCAAAGAGCTTTACATAGGAAGAAAAGACCACAAACTTACTAGCAAATTCAACGAATCCAATTTAGCGACTTTCACGTCAGTTTCCAACTTTTCCAAAGCTAAAGCAAAACAATTTTCGGCAAATTCTTTTGATGCGCATAGACAAACGGAAAGTTTTTCAGCGAGTATATCGCGAGTTATCGCTTGTGGATCATTTGGTGATGGGAAGAAGTCAATAGGGAAGTAGCAGGAGAAAACTTCGAACATTTCCTCAGAAAGATGACGAAGTGGATACGTATTGATAAATCGAGGCATAAATTCGAATAGAAAAACGAGATTTCGAGGGTCACGTTCACCCTCGACTGCCTGTATGACTCCATATATAAAATCAGCACCCATAGCTTGAAGTTCCACTTGATAATTATCTGATAAGTATTGAATGATAGTAAAAATGTTGGCACGATCTCCTCTGACTTGAGTCTGACATGGGATGTTAGCGAAAATTTGTTGCAGAACCAAGACAGGCGATGATCTTGGAAGATTCTTCATCTTGATGATTGCTACAAGTCCAATAATAACTTGTGGAGATATTGAATGATGATCCTTCATTCGATCGCAATAGAATGCGACAATAAATCCGAGAGCTTTCTCATCCAATAAATCTTTAGGAAGGCTTCTCAGCAAATCAGATAGAAACTCCATGCCTTTCAATCGTATTTCAACATCTTTATGAGTTAATGCTGGTCCGAGCTCTTCAACAACTTGAGTGATATCTTCTTTGTGATGCGTCAAGGCTATAACAGAAGATTTATAGTTTAAACAAAGACATTGACTAAATGATTTATGTTCACTTTCACCTTTTACGATTTCCTGCAGTTTCTCATCCAACTTATTGTCATTCTTTAGAACATCCACAATTGATGTGGACCAAGGAAATTTCATGTTGCGAATTTTAATCAATCTTATTTCAAAAACTAAAAAATTAATTTAATTGATTTTCTTCTTTTTTCTCAATGTTTTGAAATTGGGTCGTACACTGTTAAATATTTTCGGATACTTGCGAGATAATCATTGAATTTTACAGTGACAACTTTAATATCACGAGAAAACATAAGCCTTTTTATGTAGGGATGTCGTAGGTTAGAGATGTAACTGTAACACTGTACAACAAAAGGGGTGTTGAACTCCATCTCAGATTTATCTGAATTTCCGTCATTTGACGGGCGAAAAATTTATAAAGCGATAATCGTAAACAAAAAAAAAGTAATTTAAAAAAACTCTTAATTTCCTGAGATCAACAAATATCTGAGATGAGTGAAGTGATAAAATCTCTTAAAGAAAAGTCACTTAAACGCAAGAAGTTATTAGCACAATCGGTAAAGTTGTGAATTTGATCAAAATTGAAATTTTTCTCATATTTTTATTTAGTTAGGCGTATCTGAAATTGAAGATATAACAAGTGTTCTTGGAGATGATTCCACATCAAGTAAAACTATCAAAGATGATGAAAATGATGCCGGAAGTTCAAAGAAACTTCAAACAGAAAGTTTATTTTATAAAGATTCATCGTTGTTTTTAAAGGTAATAGAAATGTTAAATTCTGCTGTGAAATATTTCTCATTTGCCCAATTTTAAGGGAACCCAATCATCGAATCCTCACAACGATTACTGTCAGCATTTCGTAGACACTGGTCAACGTCCACAAAACTTTGTTCGAGACGTGGGACTTGCAGACCGGTTTGAAGAATATCCAAAATTGAGGGAACTCATTCGATTAAAAGATGAGCTCATTGCAGAAACTGCAACCCCACCGATGTATCTTAAAACTGATCTCAAATCATATGATTTAAAGAGTTTGGGAGTAAAATTCGACGTCATTCTAATTGAACCACCTTTGGAAGAATATTATAGAGGAACAAGTGGAACTCATGGAAATTTTTGGAACTGGGATGAGATTTTAAACTTGGAAATTGAAGCTGTAGCGTCTCATCGTTCATTTGTTTTTCTTTGGTGTGGAAGTTCCGAAGGTCTCGACTTAGGTAGAAATTGTTTGAAGAAATGGGGATTTCGAAGATGTGAAGACATTTGTTGGATCCGCACAAATCAAAACTCGCCAGGACATTCCAAAATCCTTGAGCCTAAAGCTGTGTTTCAACGTACAAAGGAGCATTGCTTGATGGGAATTAAAGGAACCGTTCGTAGATCAACTGATGGTGACTTCATTCATGCAAATGTTGACATCGATTTGATTATTTCGGAAGAAAATGAGTTTGGAAAAGTTGAAAAGCCTCAAGAGATTTTTCACATTATTGAGCACTTTTGCTTAGGCCGTCGTCGATTACATCTCTTTGGTGGTGATTCCACTATTCGATCTGGCTGGCTTACTCTTGGACCAGATCTGACAAACTCAAATTTCAATCGAGATCTTTACTCAAGTTATTTTGAAGCTAATCCAACAACTGGCTCAACTGAACGTATAAGTATGTTGCGTCCAAAAAGTCCTCCAACGACAAATTCAATTAGAGGCAGAGGAGGACTTAGAGGATTTTCTCGTGGTGGTCGAATTAGAACACCTAGATAAACTTTAGATTTCTAAGGATTTCTTTTAATGTCGATGAATAAATATTTTACTTTTCTATTTATACAACATTAATTTTCGCTTATTTATTCTTCAGTGAAACCTCAATACCTAATTGCAAAGGAGAAAAAAACTATTTCTTCGTCGGGTTCTAGTTCTTCTCTTAAACTTTCCTGATTA